TTTGATCTAGCCAAAACAGAACTCCAACACTTTTCCAAAAGCCGGAAGAGGAACAATCCCTCCTGCATAATCCAAACCCCAACAGGCGCAGAGGAGATTGAACCCCCCCCACTCAATGGCGCCACACGATGGCTAGGGATCTGGTTTGACCGGAAACTCAAGTTCAGGATACACACCCAGACGATGGCAACCAAGGCCAAAATGGCAACCAATGGCATCCAAGCCCTGGCCAACACCGTACGAGGAGTCAAAGCCCCTCTACTGAGGCAAGCAACAATAGCCTGTGTGGTCTCAGTTCTTTGCTATGGAGCTGAGGCATGGTGGCCAGGACAGAGTAGATTGAGACAAGACAGTTCAGGTGCATGGAAGTCCATCTCCAACGGAGTGGCTGCCCAGCTAGCCTGTCTGGACCGAGTACTCCGCAGTGCACTGCTGGGAACCCTCCCAGTCTATAGAACTACTCAAACAGCTGCACTTCACCAGGAGTCAGCCATACCACCCATGGAACTTCTCCTGGACCAGAGACGACGAGCACTAACAGTCAGAGTTCACCAACTTGACACCAGACACCCATTATACCGCCGGGCCAAACACCAGAGAAGCTTTCACATTAATACCCGCCTACTCCGAGCCATTGACCCAACAAACTACCAACACACAGAACAGATAGACCCACTGTTGACAAGCCCCTGGGACACCAAAGACATAGAACAGCCAACTACATCCAAGGCCCAGCACAGAGAGGAATTCCAGAGATGGCTGGAGTTCATCCCACCACTTTCAATGGTCATCTACACAGACGGGTCCAAAGGAAAAGAAGACACAGCTGCGGGAGCTGGTTGGGTAGGCTACTGGGGAACCAGCAAGAGCAAGATCTTCCGTGGGCATGCAAAGCTCCCCAACCACGAGGTCTTTGACACAGAGGCTAGAGCGGCCCTGCTAGGCCTACAAGCAGCCTTCAAGGACCCCAAAGCACAGTACTCTACCCACATATATATCTGCTTGGACAACCTGGAAGCAGTACGACAGCTCCAGGGCCAACCTAAAGGATCAAGCCAATCAACATTCATAAATTTCCAAGAAACCGCCCAGACATGGCCGCAACACCCTAGAACACCCAGCATACAGGCAGGCACAGTACAGGTGAAATGGGTCCCTGGACACACAGGCATTGAAGGCAACGAAGCAGCGGACAAGGAGGCCAAGATGGGCTGCCATGCTGCCCTGGAGCTCCCTCCACCACCTGCGTCCATAGCTGCTACCAAGCGGGCAGCCCAGAGGATACACTGGCATGCCTTTGCACAGTTCTGGGCAGAAAAGGCCCCCAAACGATACAAAGACCTCAGGATAGGCCTGGAGAAGCGTCCCCCAGAGCTCCTTCTTCCACGAGCAGCCCTGGGCCGCCTCCTCGCCGCCAGGAGCGGCCATGGCGACTTTGCAGAGTACCATGAGCGCTTTAAACACGACGACGCCCTGCTGACATGCTCATGCGGCCGCAGAAAGGAGCCATCCCATTTCTATCATTGCAGAGAGGGCCGCAAAGCAGCAGCACATCCATGGGGCCGCCGGCCTGTGACTGATATCCTCCGCACAAAAGCTGGTTACACTGCACTTGCAGGCTGGCTGGGAGAATCCAACTTCTATACAGATATCTGCCGACGACATTAGGCCATCAAAACTCACCAAATCCAGGGACATCCAGGCTTACCTCTGGCCTCCCTTTCTCTCTCTCTTCCCTTTCCCCTTTTTTTAGTGTACCCCTTCCCTGCCCCTCTTGTTCGCGTTCATGCTTTTTTGTTGCAAACCAATACGCGCAATTTTGCTGCTTAGACAGTCATGAAAACTCAAGCAGCCCCCCGCGCGGGAGGCTACCTGTATATAGATGATAGATGGTAGTTTAGCTAGGTGACAGGCAGTCTCGATCTGCCCGTCGTATGTCCCGCACCGGGACCAGGGTTTTTCCGCTTCCGAGGTTCCCAAGGATGCGTGGAAAGGCCCGAACCTCGACGTAAAATAGACACACACACACACACACACTACTACACTTCACCACCACCACCTCCTCCTCCTCCTCCTCGCCTCTTTCTTGTCTTGCTCCTCTTCAACCACATCTCTCTCCCTAGGAGTACATTCCTCCAGCAACAATGTTGAATCGTTAATGACCCGCCAAGATCGACGATACTCGTCGATCCGTCCAGACTCGGTCCAGTGGACTAGCTTAATGACTTAACTTTCATAGACGCGCCCAATACTACCTAAAACGCTAGTCAAAGTTTCGAGTATCCACGGCGCACCTTCCGAATCTTTTTCTTTAGGAGAAGCCCGCTTCATTGTTGGCAGCCGTCAGTGCTGGGGATCGAGATCACCCTCCACCACATATTTCCCTCGGGACTTTTGCTTTATTTCTATTTTTTGGCACCCGTCTCTCCTCTTCGGAGTCGTCTGTCTCTGCTATCGCTATTGGAGAAAAGAAGATTGGCGATGTTAGCGCTGAAAAGGGGGAAACTATAACTCAGGGATATCGCTGCTTCGCCTGTACTTCTGGTTCGTTTTCTTCCTATAAGGAGTTTCAGCTGTGTCGACTGTTCTCTTCCTCCTCAAACTCCCCTTCGTCTTCCCCCTTCAACCAATTTCAGCCGCTTGAGCGATGGTGGCGTCTCTTCCATGTCGACCGCGGCAATCCCCGATGACGTGGAATACGCATACAGTGATGGAATCCAGAGGTACATCTTCTCAGCCTTTGCCGGTATCGTGTGGTACAATGCCATCGAACTTATTGTCGTCTGCTTCGCTACCTTCCGACGATATCGGGGATGCTACTTCTGGAGTCTACTCGTCTCTTCCTTCAGCTTGATTCCCCACGTGCTGGGATACATCTTTTTACTCTTTCCTTTGGGAATCTCGCCATGGCTCTCCGTCTCGTTCGTCCTTGTGCCATGGTGTGGAATGGTAACGGGGCAATCGCTGGTGCTCTGGTCGCGGTTGCACCTGGTGCTGCAATCCCCAAAGGCTCTCCGGGGCGTGCTCTGCATGATCATCATCAATGGCATCGCCTTCCATACACCTGTATTCGTGCTTATGTATGGCATTGTCTCGCCAAAGGCCGATCTGTTTGTCCGCGGTTATGACATTATGGAACGCGTCCAACTGGTCGGATTCTGCGTCCAGGAACTCGTGCTCTCGGGAATCTACATATACGAAACGGCCAAGCTTCTTCGACTACGTCCTGAACAACGACATCGACAGATCCTCGTCCAGTTATTGGTCATTAATATATTCATCCTCATCCTCGATGTCGCCGTCGTCGGTACCGAGTACGCAGGCTATTATGCAGTGCAGGTCATGTTCAAACCGGTCGCCTACAGCATGAAGCTCAAGCTAGAATACACTATCCTTGGCAAATTGGTTGAAATCGCTCAGGGGGTTACTTCGGATTCCTGGGCATCTACGAGTCCCCGAGACGCTATGCTGTCTGGCCATGGTATACGACTGGGAAGTGACGGGGGAGCATCCGACCATTTACAGGAGGTCGACTCTACAAATGTACCCCCGGAGGTGTATGCAACAGGCAGTCCTTTTCCTAGATGCGTGAAAGGTCATGGTTGACCGCTCGGTTCGCTTGCAATACATACGTTACAATTTCCACGGAACACGGCAATGCCTGGTGGTCTTGACACCACGTTATGGGTCTGATTAATCGGACAAGTCGCCGTTGACGATGTGCCGGACGGGTGCCGCCATCGTCAACCTGTCGCTACCGAACATCAGCCGAGATATTCAGGCTGTCTCTAGAAGGAGAAGCGGTCTCACCACCCCGCCGTCTCTGCGCGCCAAGGGCATCATATTGGCCGGATTGTGCCATGCCACTGGCCAGGGTCAGTTGGGCCCTTGACTATTGCTATGCCGAAATTGGCATGAGCATATAAAAGTGATTACCTCTGTATGATAATGAGATGACAATATAACTCTAAACCTCTGATCGGGTGTAAAACTGTAGTCTGCTTCGCCACATTCCCCTGACTTTGTAGGACCAAGAAATCCCTCACTCCGGCTCAACCTCGGTGTCATCAATAAATGCCCCTGTCCCCCCGGATTCTCCGAACCATTCAGGGTCCGACCCCGCAATTTCCCCGGATGGCCTCCACATGGCTTGACATCACTGTCTATGTCTGTTCGGTCTGTTGTTGCCCCGGGTTTCGCTGTCGGGTCGATTGTATACCGATGACTTTGCTTGCTGAGGATGCTATAATAATGTATTTGATTTATGCGGTCATGTCATTCCAAACGGTCGCTGTCTAACCATGTGGTCTCTGTCGTTCCTCCTAGGCCCGGCTCTCTTAGCCGCCGTGAGCCAGGCCGGCAAGACACCATACGACGAGTACATCCTCGCGCCTTCGACGCGGAATCTGGTCCCTGAAACCATCTACCAGATCAATGGCTCTGTTTCGAACGCAGACGTCCTAACCAGCCCTGGTTCAGGAAACGCTACATTCAACGGTCCTGCATCTGTGACTTTCGACTTTGGCCGAAACATCGGCGGCATAGTCTCTCTCGACATCGCATCCGCTTCTTCCTCTGCTGCATTCGTGGGCGTCACCTTTACCGAATCCAGTCTCTGGATCAACAGCGAGGCATGTGATGCGACAGCAGACGCAGGATTCGACTCTCCGCTATGGTTCCCGGTCGGTCAGGGCCCTGGGAAGTATACTGCTGAGAAGAAGCATCTTCGCGGTGCATTCCGGTACATGACAGTGGTGACCAACACGACGGCGTCGGTTTCTGTGCGCAGCGTTCGCGTAAAGTACACGGCTGCTCCGACGCAGGATCTCAGGGCATACAATGGGTACTTCCACAGCGACGACGAACTGATTAATCGGATTTGGTATGCCGGTGCATATACCCTTCAGCTTTGCACGATCGAGCCCTCCACCGGCGACAGTCTGACCACCCTGGGTGAGATTTCGTCCATCGACAACATCACCCTTCCCGAGACCGTACCATGGTACAACAACTATACAATCTCCAACGGCAGCACGGTGCTGACCGATGGCGCAAAGCGAGACCGTCTCATCTGGCCCGGCGACATGTCAATTGCGGTGGAAAGTGCCGCAGTCAGCACGGGGGATCTGGAAAGTGTGAAGAACGCACTGGAAGCCCTGTTCTCCCAGCAAAAGACCAACGGCCGCTTGCCCTACGCTGGCCGTCCGTTTACCGACCGGGTGAGCTTTACGTACCATCTGCACAGTCTCGTCGGTGTGTCGGATTACTACCGCTTGACCGGGGATCGCACATGGCTGTCCAGGTACTGGAACCAGTACAAGCGTGGTGTGCAATGGGCCTTGTCGAGCGTTGACCAGACCGGCCTGGCCAATATTACTGCTTCTGCCGACTGGCTGCGTTTTGGCATGGGTGCTCACGTAGGTTTCCCTATCTTGATTGACCAGCTCAGCACTAACTGCAGCAGAACATCGAAGCAAACGCCATCCTCTACTACGTCCTCGACCAAGCGCAAGACCTAGCAAGCACCCTGCACGACCAAACTGCCACAAACTGGAGCAGCATCGCCTCGGGCATCAAAACAGCCGCGAACCAGCGCCTCTGGGACAGCGACGCGGGACTATACCGCGACAACGAAACGACCACTCTCTACCCTCAAGATGGCAATGTCTGGGCTATCAAAGCTAACCTTACTCTTTCCGAGAAGCAATCTTCCATTGTTTCATCGTCCCTTCGCTCCCGCTGGGGTCCTTATGGTGCACCCGCGCCTGAAGCTGGGAAGACCGTGTCTCCATTCATCAGCGGGTTCGAGCTGCAGGCGCATTATCTTGCTGGTAACGCAGATGCAGCCCTTGCACTTATGCGCACACAGTGGGGATTCATGCTCGACGACCCGCGGATGACCAACTCAACCTTCATCGAGGGCTACTCGACCGACGGGTCATTGGTGTATGCACCGTACAACAACGACCCGCGCATTTCACACGCGCACGGCTGGTCTGCAGGCACGACAGCCGCATTAACCTTCTACACGGCTGGTCTGCATCTCACAGGTCCCGCGGGCTCGACTTGGAAGTTTGCGCCGCAGCCGGGGAATCTGACAGATGTGGATGCTGGGTTTTCGACGCAGCTGGGTGCGTTTTCGACCACGTTCAGTAAGACGGATGACGGGTTTCAGCGGGTGTCGTTTAATGCGCCCAACGGGACGACGGGGGATGTTGAGTTGGTTGGGGCTAAGGGGTCTTTGGTTTCGAGAAAAGGAAGGCGAGTTGAACTTGTTGATGGAAAGGCTAAGGGTTTGGCGGGTGGACACTGGGAGTTAAAGTGATGTGTGCATCCTAGGAATGTACCTACTCAGTGATTGTATGAAATAGTCAAAAAAGAAAATCGATATCATGCGTTCAATAAATATGATACATTTCATGCGCTAATCAAGCCATAGATACATTACCCTCAACAAACAAATCCCAGCTATTTCTTCTGCAACGCCTTCCTCAATTTCCCAACGGTCCCACTCGACTGGATATCCCCATCGTCTGCACCACTCTCATTGTTGTTGTTGTCGCTGTCGCTGTCGCTGTCGCTGTCACTGTCGCTCTCGCTATCATCCTCCGACTCGCTGTCCGACGGCGGGTCGAAGACATCCTTCTTCCGGGTAACAGTCGCCATACGCGCCTCCTGCAACTGCGCGTCGTAATTTTGTTTCTGGGCGGTAATGACGTTCCTGAGGCCTTGAAGGCTCGCGCGCGCGCTCGAGAGTTTGTTGACGGATTGGAAGGGTTGGATGTGTGGTTGAGGCTGTGATTGGGCGGGGGGTTGCGAAGAGCCCCGGGGTGAGGAGTAGCGGTTTTGCGGGAGTGGTTGGGATTGCGGTAGTTGCTGCTGAGAGGGAGCGGGGGATTTGGTCATGCTGTTGCGCGCGGAGCTAGTCCCGTTGGCGCCGTTGGTGCTGTTGGCGCGACGGAGTAGATCAGCCTTGGTTAATTCTGGCCCTTGCTCTTCGTCGTCGTCGGACCTTGAGCCGGACCCTGAGTCGGAGTCGGAGCCTGAGCCGGTTTCGGAGTCAGTCTCATCATCGTCCTCAGAAGAAGATTCCTTGTCTTTTCCTTGTTCCGGCGAGGCTGGCTTCGGTTCTTCGGGGGTAGGTTGCGGTGCAGGCTGCTCTTCAGGTTTCTTCGATTGGTCCAGAGTACGAATCGTCTCCATTTCAGGCAAATGCACATCATCAGACATGGGAAAGCTCTGTGATTGTTCCTGGGACAACAGTCGAGACTGCTGGGATTGTGGCTTTTGTGGCGATTGTTGCTCAGGCTGCTCAGACTTAGCTTGCTGTGGTTCCCGAGGCTCCTGAGGCTGGGGCTGAGAGGTTTCTGGCACCATCTCTGGCTCTTGGGGCTGCTCTTCGGGTTCCTCCGGTTCTTGCGGTTGCTGCTCCGATTGAGGTTCCGCTTCCTGCTCTACCTCAGGCTCAGACTCAGGTTGCTGTTCTTGCTCAGGCTCGAGTTCCTTTTCGGGTTCGTGCTGCTCAGACTCAAGTTGCTGTTCGGCTTCAGGCTCGGCCTCGGGTTCGGGCTCTTGTTGGGCTTCCATCTGCTCCCTCTCTTGGCCCTGCTCCTGCCCCACTTCCGTTTTGTCTCCATCTTCTTCCTCGTCTTGCGGCTGAGGTTCCGGTTCAGGCTCAGGGCCCTCCGGCGGCTCCTGTCCCTGCTCCCCTTCCTGCTCTCGTTCCGGCTCCTCTTCCGTCTCCATCTCTTGCCCGTTCACTTGCTGCTCCTCCGGCTCCTTCTCCTGTTCCATTTCCTGCTGAGGCTCAGGTTGAGGCTCCGGCTGATCTATGTCAATCGCATCAGCCTTATCAACCGCGCGCAACGAACGACGAGACCGATGAGTCCTCCTAGACGATGCAGTAACCGGCTCTTTATTCTGAGCCTTATCTGCAGGACTTGCCTTGCGCTTAGATTGCGAAGGAGTTTCAGCAGGAGCCGTTTCAGGTTCCTGACTAGCTTCAGCTTCCGTGGTCTGTGCGGAATCACCATTCGTCGTCTCGGTAGGGGCCGCTTCTTCACTTTCGGTTTCCTTGGGAGGGGATTTCGCAGGAGATCGTTTCGAGGAGCTTTCGCGACGAGCTGCCTTTGTCTTTTTCGCAGACTCCTTGGCGGTCGACGACGGGGTATTGATCTCTTCGCTCCTCTCCTCAGCAGCAACTTGCGAGGCACGTTTCTTCTTCTTCCTCCTTTTCTCCGGAGTCTTGGAGTGACCGTTCGGGTTGGCTTTCAAGTACTCTAGCTCCCGTAACTGGGCATCCAATTTGGCACGATAGCTGGTAACCTGTTTCTGGGTCTTTTGACGGCCACTGTTCTTGTTTTCCGAGATATACGCCCGAGTTCTTTGAATCTCCGCCAAAAGTTCCAGATACTCAGGGCTTGCATTGCGCGCTTCTGCTTCTCTCATCTCTCGGTCCATCTCCTCTTGCTCCTGCTTTTTCTTTTCCGCTTCTCGCTGTTGTTCCTCGAATATCCGCTGAAGCTTCTCCGCAGTGACACCTCCAGGGTATACAGTAACGCCCGCAGTCGGTGGCTTTTCCTGCCATGTCTTGTCCTTGGCCTTCTCTGGCTCTTTAGCTGCAGGGCCTGAAGGCAATCTTGACTGAGAATCATTAGTAACTGGAAACACGCTGTTCTTCTCAGAAAACGAAACGGAGCGACGCTTGTCTGTTGACGCCTCTTTGCGCAGCGCCGACTTAACCTTGTCAGCGGGGGTCTGCGGTTTGGCAGGTGTTGAATCGTTCTGTGTCAGCGACTTGCGAGAGCTACTGAACGACACAGGTGCGGCAGTAACAGTTGTCTGGCTCGACGGTTGCTCCCTGTTCTTGGTCGAGTCCACGAAAACGAGCTTGGGGGCCTTTGTCGAATTGTTTGAGAAGTCAGGCTTGGTCGGCTGCTTCCGCGGGGGACTCTTCGTAATCCCCAGCCCAAGACCCGATCTTGGAAGCGAGTGTTGTTCCGTGATGCTTGGACGACAACCAGGCCCGGAAAACGAGGGTGCTCTTTCGCGCTTTCGCATGGCAGAAGGGCTGCTACTACGAGGTTCAGGAGTCTCTTGGGTTGGGGTACCGGCCCTGTCGAGTCGAGGCTCCTTGTTTGACTGCAAATCTTCCTGGCTCTTCTTTCTCTTGCCAAGGCGGGTTTGACGCGTTTCGGGAGCATCGCCATCTGCGAGGTCTTGCTCAGGCGCTTCCTCCGTAGCAGAAGTAAAAGTATCCCCACCGTCGTCCATTGCAACGTCGCCATCATCATCAAAACTCCCCTCCTCTCCATTATCACCATTGTCCTTCTCCCCACCTTCTTCTTCCTGTCTTCCATTGTCTTGTTCGTTGGCTTCGCCTTCGTCTTCATCATCCTCAATAGGCTTCATTAAATGGGAAATACGCCGCCGCGTTAGAGACTGTGTCTTGTGACGGAGCGGTGGCGTCTGCTCAGCTGGGTGCTGTCCTTTGCTCGGGGGTGGGGATTTCGACTCAGACGTGATCTTGTTGATCGTACGATTCGCGGCACGACCTCTGCTCGCAGGAGCACGTGGCTGCGATGTGGCGGCCGTCTTCTCGGACGAAGGCGCAGATGGACGCATCGGGGTCGGTGAACCGCCCAATTCCTGGCTCTCGAACCGTCTGTGTTGTGGTGTTGCCTCGATTGTTTTCTCATTGTTGTCTTGTGAGTCCTGCTCCTGCACGTGTGGTTGCTCGTCCCAGCGTGCAGGGGATCCGGGAATCTCATGCTCTTTTTCAACCGACAAGACAGGCATGTCCCGGCGACGTTCTAGTTCATCGGTTTGGTGAGCGGGAGTAGTTGGCGTGGGCATGTGTTGTCGATCGTCGTCCTGACTGCCAGACACAGACCCAGCCTGGGAGTCCTCCTCAGCAATCGTAGGAAACTTGTGTACAGAGTTCGCAGCCGCTTCCCTCTTATCCTGTATCCTGCGCTCGTAATCCTCCGCCGCCGCGTCCCAATCCAAAGTCACAGACGGAAATCTCGCGGGCGAGTAAGGCGTAGGTTTCTGAATCACACGGAGAGTACCACGCTGGTCCCGAGCATCGATATGAGCCAAACCTCTATCCACAAAAACATCGGCCGCAGTCATATCGACATCGAGATCGTCGGTGTCATGGTCGTCATCGAGCATCTTCTTGATCTGCAGGGGTCTGAGCTTCGTTAGCACACACCCTGTTACACCGATGACGCCAGGACCAGGATATCAAAGTAGATAAGGAGTACTCACTCCACATTAGGACGTAACTTTGTCCACTTTTCCTGAATCATCTTCGCCAATCCACCCAACGTCACGTCCTCCGGGTTCTGCAACACGAGCAAGAAGCTCGCTGGCTTCCCAGCCGGCACTCCCGATGAGTTACGAGCGACATCATCACTGCTGAGGATAGAGCGCAAGGAGAAAGATGAGCTGGCCTGGATTTGCTCGGGAGGGTAGATTTTGACCGTGAGGCGTAGAAAGACCATAACGAAGACGACGATGACGGATTGAACGAAAAGGACGTGGGATTCGAATTCGGTCGATCACGAACGGCAAGGCGAGAGGGTTAAATAGGCATTATTTAGTAAAGACGTTTAATCGAAGGCGTAGGAATAGCTGGTTGGAGTATGCGCGCTGCGGTCCCTGACGGGCAGATTAAGAGAGAAGAGGTAGAATTCGCGATACACGCAGGAGACAATTATTTACAACACTAGAAGACAGCGAGAAGAGCTCCAATAGCCCAAAGAGAAGAACAAAAGAAAAGACAAGACAACCAGGCGTGTTATTCACACCGCGGAGAAGAAAAAAAGTGAAGGAACCGCGCAGCTCCAATTGACTTGCGCTTGGCTTATGTCAGCAGTAGTGCCTGTTCCTTGATACATCACTTTATCTACTCCCATTTAAGCCTGTAAAGAGTTGTATAGCCCTTGAATATCCCATACTACTCTTGAATCTCGGAATAACTGACACGACTGAGGATATGGGTGGTATACGGTGTGACAGCATCTGCGGTGAATCTGGCAAGCCCAACAATACAGACAGAAGCTTCAGGAATCATAAACTTTTATTATATATAGAATACATCGTAGCTTTTTCTTTTTATCACAATATCTCATCGACCATCATGTAATCATCAATCAATCAATCCATCGGGCTAAAGTACCGCTTAAACCGGTCAATGTTCGTCAACTCCAATTCCGCAATCACCGAGTGGCAGCTCATCAACAGACTCGGGAATCGCACGGTCCAAAAGTTCAGATATCCCTCCGGCAATCCGCCAATGTGCGCCTTGAGATGTGCCGGCATATCGTTGTAGTGGTTGCGCTTATTGCGCAGCGCTCGAAGCAGATCCAGCATCTTGGATCCCGTGTATTTGCGTTGCTTGCCCAGGCTGTCCTTGAAATCCCGTGGGAGAACGCGCAAAAAGTCCATGTCTGGGCCCATGACCCGCTCGGCCACCGATTCCAGACACAACAGGGCATCGGAAGGCGGATCCCGGGGTTCAAACTCGAAGTGGTCGGACACGTCGCAGAGGAAGGCGAGACGGTCTGATGGAGGCCAAAAGAAGGGGTGCATCAACACTGCACTAGCATCGGGACTGTAAATTAATTAGTTTATGCGCAACTTCATGCAAAGATTCTCCGAAACTTACCGCTTGCGAGGGTCCAATGACAACATGGACCGAATCAAATCATCCGCTTCAAATGCATAGTCCCCCAGATGCTGAAGCTCATCAAGATTAAAGTTACCCTTGACAATGTTGGCTTCCCGCATGAACTTGCCATTCTTATCAAACGGATGACCACCCCGCGTGAGCACATAGTAGAACACACAGCCCAGCGAGAAAATGTCAATAGCGCGCGTGGCACGTCGATTGGTTTGAGGATCGACAACCGCCGGTTCAGAGGACTCCGTATGCTGAGACTCAACACTTTGGGTGACCGGGCCCTTGTCGTCATCGACCAACAGTTCGGGAGCCCGCCAGCCTGATGTTCCTGCGGCATGGGCGGTGGTGGCACGGAACGAGCTTTGATTGTCGTCCAGCTTCTTACACAGGCCAAAGTCGGAAATGAGCAACCGCAGAGACCGCGATCCCATGCGCCCACGAGGCATAGCTGCGAGGATGTTCTGCGGCTTCAAGTCACGGTGCACAATCTTTAGGGAATGTAGGTACCGAACGCCCCCAATGATTTGCCGCAACATGTCCGGCACATCCAGGCCGCTTTCGACAAGAGCGGGATAGTGGGCTGGTCGTTCGACAACATCCTGCAGCGAGGCGGGACAGAGTTCCAAGGCAATGTATAAAAAGCCGGCCGCTTGTTCACGACAGAAATAGCGAATGACATTGCCGTGATCGTCACTTTCCTGTAACAAACCGACCTCATGCGAGGCGATGTCATAGAACTCGACCAACATGCGCTTGACAGCCACATCACGGCCATCAAACGAGCCCCGATAAACCACCGTTCCGTGACTGCCGTGGCCCAGAACCACATCCGTATGCACCTTCAGTCGACCGATTTGAACAACGCCATCCATCTCGATGATCTCAGTGGGCACAGTCCGAGGTAACTGCATGTCGGACTCCAGGCGCTGAAAGTTTTGGACATCCTTCACAACCTGATCTTCCTGGTCCTTGCTGTCCTCTTCACTCCCGGGCTTCTTGTTTCTCTTGTGGGATTTGCCGCCACGACGGCCTCGTCGTGCCTTTTTCTTGGGTTTCTCGGGGCTCTGGAGGTTCAATTCGTCCACATCATCCTCGTCGTCAGGGCTGCGAGAGGGTTCCCGAATCCGGACGCGAGGCGTCGCGTCGGCAGCCAAGGATGCGCCGCCGGCTGATGAAGAGTCTGGAGCCGAGGCACTACGATCTCGCCGTGGCCTTGGGGTCTGGTCCCGTGATTGTTGCTCCGCGGAGACATCCAGGTCGACTGTAACATTGGGCACCGGTCGGATTGGACTGGGCTCGCGCTTTACATGCGTAGCACCATTGACAAGGGGGGTTGACGGAGTCGACAAGGGGTGCTGGTCCGAGGAAATAATATTCTTCAAGTCGAGCTTCTGCTTGGCCAACTCTTGAATGTTGTGCGAGTTGAAGTAGATGAAGGTGCCAAAGAAGAGTAACAACAGGGTGACAAAGATGTCTAGAGCATTGTCCCATCCCTTGCGAATGATCGTGCTGTGTCGCAGGGCGGGCGGCAAGGCCAATTCGGATGGGGTCCTGATCAGATCGTGGGGCAAATCGTGATGAGATAGGTCGTGTGTACCCGATGACCCACCAATGCTCGGGTGTTCCCGACTGACGATGCGTGGGCCGTTGAGCGAATGCACGCCAGCCAGAGCATCCCGCTGCTGGTGAGGGCTCAAACTCGTGAGTGGTTGTCCATGTCGGAAGTAGTCCTTCTCATAGCATTGGGCCATCTTGGCCCGTCCCGTCACCAACGGATAGGTCTCTTCGGACATGGCATACCAACCACCCGCCTCGGTGGTATCGATGAAGACCCGCTCATCCCGTTCATCGAGAGGCCCATAGTCAGGGTCGGGAGGCTGCAATGGTTGCGAGAGGAGAACAAAGGGCGTGGGAGCATCGGGGGACTCGACATTGGCGGAGCGTACGACGTCGAAAACGCGAACGACGGGCGACAAGAAACGCTGCGTGTAGCGGGGGCGTTCCATGCGGGAGTGGTCGAAACCCAGAACGACACCATCATGCATGCTATAGATGTGACTCTGGTCCATGCTGCTAAAGTATTGAGTCTGAAGGTCGACGTCGCGGTTGTTGGGGGTCCACTCGGAGTACTTGAGCGTGCAGATTGGGTCACCAGTCTCAGTATTCTGGATAGCCACGGCATATTCCACTCGACCAAGTACCAAAGTGCCACTAGTTGATTCGCATGTGTCTGTGACACCGTCAAAGCCATCATCAATCTTGCGGCACTCGGGTCCGGGCGGGAGTGGTCCACGGGAACTAAACACACGCAGGATGTTTCCGGTACGAGCATCGATGGTATACAGAGTCGTCTCCTTTCGAGCGGTATATGTGACGGCCGGGTCGATACCGGAGTACGGGGTCTCGTCGACGAGGTCCTTCACCGTCAATCCCAACTTTTGCAAACCAGCATCGGGGCCGGGACTGTAGATGTAGATACTGCCATGCTGACTCGGCTCAACAATCCAAATAAAATCGTCTTCGGGCTGAGTGCTGTCGAAACTAGACCGGTTGGCTCGATGGTAGATGCTCTCAACGACAGGGCTGCTCGGGACCTCCAGAGCCCAACGAGAAGCACCGGTGTGGCGGTCACGGGCGTGAATGGAACCATCGACGGTCGCCAGCAGGACAAAATCCTCAACCTCCCAACCCTGCAGGGACCGCGCATGCAGCTGCGGCGCCAGGCCGGCAGACGACGAGGGACTGCTGACCTGGGCAGGAGGGGCTCGAACGGCGCGGCCAGGGCCGGCCAGAGCCAGGGTTGTCAGGGCGCTCGCATCGTTGGATTTCACGTTGATCGCATTATGAGAAGGGCCAGTCGAGTGAAGAGGGACGGACACGGCGGGAGCATGGTCATGGTGAGAGTTACGGTGAGAATGGAAAGGTCCCTGCAGCTGCTGCGGAGCGACAAGAACGGGGAGCAGGAGAAGGGCGACGCTGGCGGGGAGAGTCGAACAGGCGCCAGACAGCCGCCACCGCATTGTGGACGACTCAGTGCGATTATCGGGGGATCTAGCAGGCCGAAGAGAAGGAGGGATGGGAGACGAGGGAGACCCGGTGGCTCATAGGAATCGGCGGTAGCTGGAATGTTTCGGGTAGGAGGACGGTGCCAATTCCTGGCTACAATGGAGGAAGCAGTGATACTATACAGAGAGTAATAGAGAGATGAAGAATAGCTAGCACAATAGCGATGGCGATGAGATGGAGATGTAGAAGATAGATAGAAGATGGAGAGAGATGGTGAAAAGGAGGCTGTGGAAGCCAAGAGAACAAGAGGAGGCGGAGTTGAGCCTCAGCGGTCAGGCAGCACAATAAACGCTGTGTTATACGTACACTCTGCTCAACATTCAACAGAAATATGTAGGATACTCGGTAGAGCAGGATGCTCTGCACTGTCAGAAAAGAACTCACACAATTGACTTTTCCCGGCATTTTTCAAGCGCAGCACAGACAGTCACATGATTACTTACCCGATTGGGTGGCGATATGAGTACGGATAACTCGTATACTACTAAACCCTCCTAAACTGGTACTCGATGCCTTCTGTTTACTGCCCTTTTTGTAGTGTCATTCTGCTGCCCGAGCCCTATAGTGATGATCCAGCCCCCCCTCAAACCCGTCGCCCTTGTTACGCAGAAGTACGGGGCATCTACTCGGAGTACTCCACTGTCTATATCACCATAACTGGCTCTCCTCAGGCTCGGTCATGGACAGCATGATCACTTCCAGAATGAGACGATTGTAGAGTCGGTATTATACCAGCTCTATTGCACTCATTGTCTCGAAGCCTCCTGGTTCCAATTTGGCCACGACTATGAGGGCGCTGCGCAAACGTCCCTTTGAGCCCAATGACGACCGGCGTCCACTCCCATTTCCTGATGACACGAAAGAAAGACCGCACCATATCTTCGCACTCTCGCCCGAGCTAAAACTCGAGATTCTCTCATATCTATCCGAGTAGGTTTCTCCTTGGTCAGGAGGCCGACTTTCTCTTCCCAAGACTTACGAATACACGGGACTGGTCTCGGCTTTTCTTCTGGACCAGGACATCTCTAACGGCCGGATTCCTGCCCTTGGTCAATCGAAAGAGAATCCGGCAGCTGCTGGAACCTATTGCTGCTCTTGTGGAGCTAGAGGCTTTGCGAAATGGTCCATACGGTCAGCCATTCGATGGCGAGAGTGCTGAGCCGCCTCAACTCAGAGAGATAGCTGATTCTTTTTCCGGTCAACTCGCCTCCATTGGCGCGGGTAGCCCCTTGCGCGAGGGATTCCGTGTGCTTTACCATAGGACACAACCAATGCTACCGCATCAGCAGCATCAGCGAGTAGGGATTTCCGCGGTCCAAATCGGCACACGGAGTTTTATATCAGGAATAAACCTATTTCCATCAAGACCAGTCGGATATCACATTCCAGCTTCCGAGAAGTGGATAGAGATACCGTCCACTTCCCACGTGAAAGCTCTTGGTGTGACGCTTTGCTCGGAAGGGCTGACGGGGATCAAGTTTATATTCACAAATTCGGATTCGGGCTGGGCTGGTGATAGCACGGGCTGACTGGATCACAGCAACGGACCAGGGATTGCTCAGGGCATGCTTAGCGTTCCGGAGAGGTTAGATCGGACTTAGCTGCTTGCAGGTTTAGATCGTTTCAAGATCGTTTCATTCGGCCTCGGCCACGCCGGAGATTTGAAGTTCCCTCTCAAGGCGCGGATTCGTCTCATGTACAAGTACAGTCCCATTTGTGGACACTGCATGCCCCAAAGCACGAGGATATGGCAAACAGTACTCCCCTACCATCCCAGCCTCCCCGGGCTTTTGAACCGCTGACCAACATTGACTTCGGAGGCCCAAGAGGCCAGCTTCTCGGGTCCTTGACAAGGCTTACGTTCCACATGACATCCACACCTTACCCAATCATGGGAATAGAAATATGTTACTCCGATGGAAGGTCAGTATTTTTCGGCTCCAACGGCGGCTGCGCAATCTCTTGTTGTATCGATGGCTCAAAAGGGGAGCATATCAATCACGTCGGCATTCTAGAAAATGATCGGATACGCCGCTCAATAACTGGCCTAGGTGGCTTGCAGGTCTTAACGAACTATGGACGAACGGCCATTTTCGCTCCTCTTCGCTCTCGACTCAACGCATCTGTTGAGATAATACCGATTCCGCCTGGTGACACCATCACTGGACTTGTTTCCGTTGAAACAGGATGTAGCGATACATTGAGCAGAGCTTTGAGCATATCCAACCGTTTCTTCCGAGTCGGTATCCAGTCCCAGCAATGTGATGAACAACCGACACCGCATGTCGATGTTCTGGATGGTGAAACCCATCAGACCCCCGACGATCAGCTGCGATACGACGAAAAAATCACGCATTTCATAAATAGTTGCAATCCCGGTAGTACCAAACGTACGCATCACTCCAGAACGTCCGCAAAATCACGGCATCCACGGGCATCCGATCCCGATCCCCCATTCGCATATCCGGCTTAAAGCTCTCGTATCACAACCATCCAAGCCCCAGTGTTGTAGGACAATGGATGAATCCACTCGACAATAGTCTTGAACTCGCCCCAGATGAAAAAGTCCAATCGTTAACGATCTGGCTCACACCAATGGGTTTCTCGACTGAGTGCCCAGGAATGGAGGTCGGTCAAGTCGCAGCCATACACATGTCGACGACGCGTTCTCGCAGTGTGACATTTCGCTCTTCAGAGTTTGACTCCCTGCCACCACGAAAGCTGCGACACCAGTACCAGAGTGACACTGACTCTGGCGAGAAACTGACAGCTATCTATCTCATGGATATTGAACGTATCTTCTGAGTGCATGCGAGCAGTCGTTTCTGAGAACGGACAAAGAGCTCAGATATCGGTCCCGGAACAACATCCTCCTTTCGATCAGGTACAGAAACCCCTACTTCGAGAGGCAGAATGACGGTGGTCGTAGAGAGACAATCGTCACAGCCACAGCCTACTTTCACGACCAAGTGATCATCGGCCTCGTCTTGGTCTACACATCCGGTAAAATAGCAAGCATAGATGACTTGGACGTCGATGTCGCCGCGCGCCAAACGGTTCATTTCGCACGGGACGCTCAGATTGTCGGCTTGTCTGTTGTAGTCAAGGAGCACGAGCTGATAGAGCTCGAGTTCGAGGTTGAACTGAATAAGCATGAGAAGCCTTAGTACAAGAAGCTCAGACTCTCCAATGGCCCGATCAATATGCTTGGATATGGCTGGCGAGACGTATGGTGTAAAGATGAACCGTCTGCGGAAAGATGTCAGCGGCTCTTGGCGCGCGGCAGGGTATACAAGCCGCCAAGTGAGTCGAGATTGGTTGGTATTTATGTGGGCTGTCAGGATCTCTCCCGTGTTAGAGCATTATACGATCGTGCCCGAATTCTCAAAATCATCCAGGCAGCAGGGGTGAAAGGTGAAAGGTGAAAGTAAAGCAGCAATAGAGGGCAACTTTATAGCATGCTATACTGCTTTAGTACTGGCGTCACCCAAGTGGACGGAGTACAGTGACCCAAAGAACAAGAAGAAATGAAACATATTACATGCGGATATCACTGAGTACCGAGCAGAAACTATACATATGTCGATCTTCACAAAGTGCTCACCAAACGCCACCCAATAACAGAATATACACCCAACGGAAAGATAAGAAAGCGACTGCTTATATATACAAACGCAATTGCAACAAACAGGGGCATGGTTAACCCCCGTATACCATCCAGGTCATTGCAGCACCCCACATGGCCACAAACACCACGGTCACAACGCCAGCCCCGGCACGGTCTCCCGTGGAGATATCCGGTAGCTCGCCGGGCTGCTCATCTTCGTCGTCGGCACCCGCAGTGGGATCGCTCTTACTTTTTCCGCCTGTATCGGCAGTGAGGGGCCCCTGGCTGTTCTTTTTGTGCATAAACATGGTGGATGAAATGACACTCAACGCACTCATGTCCGACTCCATCGACGTCGACCCGTCCCATGTATCTTGGTACCATCGTCGTCCACACTGGGTGCCGTCGTCCCCGCCCGAGCATTGCTGGGCAGCTCCTTGGGCTGATTCTAGAATCATGGGCATGATCTGGTCGTGCGTGTAGGGTACAATCTCCGCCATATTCGTCAACCACGAAGACAGGAAACCCTTGAAACAGTCTTGGTTCCGATCACATTTCATATTCGGTTCGCAGGCGATTTCTGACATAGTCTTGCTGCCATACTTCTTGGGGAAGAATGTCTGGAAGGTGGTTCCAAGCAAGCCGTCAATGCCTTCTTTCCACTTGGCATCTCCGTTTGTCTGTTCACGTTAGCTTACCCTATCCCGAATCGAATTGGAGAAGAACATACAATGTTGTACATGTAGGCGGCCCCACCGAGGTACTGACCATAATTATAGGTCCACTGGAGGTCGCCATGATCGGTGCAGTTTGCTTGCATGTTGGTCGTATCGGCAATGGTCCAGTCGGATTGCTTCAACAACGGGGTGGTCGCACTCCAATCCCAGATCTTCTCGGCCCAGTCGAAATAAGTTTGATTACCGGTATAGCGAGCGAGACGAGCGGCCAGCTGGAAGAGACCACCGTTGGAGACGGCGTTCTTGATCATGTATCCGCCCTGATAGGGCCAAATCTGCCAGCGCAAACCACCAGCGCACGCGGTCATATCCCATCGAGGAACCTGAGTATTAAACACACCCTGGGCCAGCGATACCCACGAGGAATCGCCTTTGCGCTCTGGGAAGTTGAGTTCGGCGGCGGTGATGGCGGCCAAGCCCCAAAAGACTTGATCATCGTTTCCGAGATAGTTGCTCTGGTTGTCGGGGAAGTAATCGTTGTTTCCCTTTTGCCATAACATGCCGGTCTGGGTGACATCGTTGTAGGATTTGTCGCCGGTCCAATACCAGTACTGCATGAGGGTCATGAATAAGGCGCCACCTTCCCACCAGGTACCGGGCAGCTTTCCGGGCATGAGATCGCTAGAGGATTCGTTGGAGTGGTAGTAGGACATGGTGTTGTAGGCGACTTTTCCAGCGATGTCTTTGATGGATGCTATGCAGGTCTATTAGCTGCGGGATACAATGATATCCTGCTATAAGCGCAAACTCACCCTCATCATCCACGTCAAGAGTGAGGCCATTGACAATTCCCTGCCCGGCCAGAATAGTGGCCAAGAAGAGAGTGCGAAGCCATTGAGGGGCCATGATCACAGCACAGCACCCTCAAAGAAAGGAAAGGAGAGTGTCGGAACGAGCTGGGAGAACGGAACAGGGACGATGGAGAGAGTCAGTCGGTATACGATGTCTAGAGAAGCATGTCGCTGCCAGTTATGATAAACGAGTGATGAGTCGAAAGAAAAGAACGAGAGAACGAGAGAATGAGAGAATGAGAGAATGAGAGAATGAGAGAGGACAGAATAAAGAGGAAGCCTCAATAAAAAGGACAAAAAGAAACAAAAAGAAACGAAGACGGTCATTTTTCGGGGGCGTCACGGTCCGTAATTACAGACCCCATAGTCCTTGGCTATCCTTGGCTGCGGGCTATGCTGGCCAATCGGGAGGGACCATTGGTTGCAGAAATGAAAACGGATGGTTCTGTATGGTAATACCAAGACTTGGCGCTCAGGGTCTAGTCCGGATCTCGGCGGAGTTATATATAGGAAAGGAGTAGCCTATTATGTCTATATGTCTATAGTATGGAGAGAATGCATATAATTATATCGAAGAGTATATAACATGGTCAGTACTTCTAAGTACAGAGTACAAGTACAGTTATACAAGTACATAGATCTCGGGTGATCGATCGGTGGAGTCCCGTCCCAGAGATGGACATGACTGACACTGATCGTCCTGTGATCTTCTATCGTTCGTCTACTATGTCTGTACAGTGTATACTCTGTACTAAACATCTACAATCTCTCGACTCACTTTCAAGCTTTCCTTTTTAACGTTGACTCAAGTCTTACTTGAGACAGATCCACCTAGCGGGGCTACCGTAACGTATAGACTACTAGTTTACCCTAAGTGATACGACTGTTTACAGAGTACTGGTACCCAAGTTTGCATTCCATTGACATAAACCCTTAGTGACATGATAATATTCTCTCCAGATACCCTTCCCCTTGTCACCAAACAAACACACAGATTAAATTGTCCAACCCGATCCGATTCATGCTGATTGTCGCAGTTGTTCTCGGGGCAGCCGCCATGAATAAAGCGGTAGGAGCTACCAGGGATGTTCTGAAGGTTAAAGCAGCCAGTCTCGCGGACCCTGGACCAGATGTTCGAGATGCGGCTTTCCTGGCAGCCACAGACCTCACCGGGCGACGCCCGGGACAGCAATGCTACGAGCTTCTCGATCCTGAGGTCCCTGGAGATACCGTTGGGAACACCCCAGCAGCACTATTTCAACCATAGGTTACGATCGAATTTCACATACGACGGGTGTTGCAACAAAGGATGGGAGCAATGGTTCGAGTGACATTCTACGTCTCAGGATATTATACGGTAGGATAAGCTAAATGGTGTAAGATTTACTACTATCCGTTGTACGGGTCAACTGCCACTGCACTTGAGTGTTGGTATGGCTGCCAATATATATTTCTGGGGGACTCTAGTACCTCGATATTGATGAACACGAGCAATACCTTATCAGTTCTATATTAAAGCGCAACAATTGATGATCGTCGATAGAGAACGCCCGAAGTATATAAAATGTAGGTCTGATGTGACATGCTACAGGTCTGCGGCCGCTATGCATTCTGCAGGAACGGACATATTCGCGGTATATCGGGGGATTATTATGCGAGAGAAGTACTACATATCACCCCTGGTAGTAGTTGGCCAAAAGCTGCGAGTGAAAATCGCCACCATACATGCACGGTTTGGTTTACTTCAGAGAATTCATGCTTTTATTACCATACCACATCTATCACTAGATTAGACTCCAAAGCATTTCCCCTGTACATAACATAATCCTCCTTTCATAATCCTTACATACGCTCGCGACGGCGAGGAGCAGCACGGATAATGTTGTCCACACGCAACAGAAGCTCGGCCGCCTCAGAAGCAGACGACACAACAGCCTTCTTCAACTTGTAACTCTCCACAACACCCAGCTCGCGCATGTCCGCAATACCGCCACCAGGCGTCAACAGGTCCAACCCAGAGCTGGACATGCCGTTGTTGATGGCCTGTCGTAGCCGGGTCACCAGGTCGCTCGAGTCCAGACCGGCGTTGTCTGCCAGGATAGTCGGGAGCTGCTTCAGAGCTTGTGCGAACGAGTCGACTGCAAGCTGCTTCTTGCCAGTTGTGTTCTGAGCCGCGTGCTCAACGGCCTTGGACATGACCATCTCGGCACAGCCACCACCCAAGGTCACCCGGGGGTCCTTGACCGTCTGCGAGAGAACGGCCAGCGCGTCGTGCAGCGACCGCTCAGCCTCGTCGAGCAGCTGCTCCGTAGCACCACGCAGCACAATCGTGCATGCCTGACCGGCAGCAACGCCCGAGAACTTGATGAGGGTGTCCTCACCCACAATGACCTCCTCGATCAGGTCACATCCACCCAGCTTGACCTGCTCGGGGTGTTCAAAGGTCGATGTAATCTCACCACCAGTGACGAGAGCCAGACGCTCGATACCATCAAAGTCGGCGTGCTCAATCGACATGATACCAGCCTCGGTGAACAGCTGCTCGGGCCAGTTGTAGATCAGCTGGCGGTTAACAAAGCAGTTGATACCGTGGGACTTAATCCGCTCGACCTTGGCGCGCATCTTCTCACGCTCGGCCTTCTCAAGCTCGGCGAGCTTGCCCGTCGACTCGACCTTCACCCGAGCACCAAAGATCTTCACCTTGTCTGTGTCCATAGCAGTGTTGGCCACCAGAATCTTGGCCTTCTCCAGACGCTTGGGCTGGTTGACACCAATCTTCTTGTCGAGGATGAATCCTTCGTCGAGGTACGAGTCGCTAAGTTTTCCACCGGCCTTCTTGATGACCTGGATATGACTGAGATCGGTCGAGCCCTTGAGACGGAGCACGGCGTCACAGGCAAGCGAGGCGAAGTGGTCGCGGTCCTGGGACAGAACCTTGGAGCTGAGGGTGGTACGGGCGATGGAGTGGAGGTCTTTCCGGAACGCCTCCGTGTCCTTGCTGCGGTCGACGGCGATCTTTTCGAGAGCGGCGAGGGAAGCCTGGCTGGCTATCCGGTAACCCTCAATGATGGTCTGGGGGTGAATCTTGCGGTCGACCAGCTTCTCAGCCTCCCGGAGGAGTTCTGCAGCCAACACGGTAACCGATGTTGTTCCGTCACCGACTTCGTCATCCTGAACCTTGGAGATGTTGACCAGCACCTTGGCCGCAGCGTTATCGAGGGCAATCGCCTTGAGGATCGTAGCACCGTCATTTGTCACGAGGATATCACCGGTCGATCTGTCCACGTAAGATTTCATATCAGTATGATCCTCGTTGTCCCATCACCCCGCATCACGTACGCTGATTGTAAGATCTTGTCCATTCCCTTGGGTCCCAACGTCGTCTTCACCAAGTCACCAACTGCGATGGCACCGACAAAGGCGGAGAGACGGGCATTCTCTCCCTTCTCCTCGATCACATCGTCCGCGAAGATTTGTGTAGGGTTGGCGAAGGACGCCTGCAACGGTTAGCTGTCCATACCGGACCAGAAAAAAGACAGATTGAACTTGAGCAGAGCAAGGCAATATCACGTACCATGATGAATATGCAATATTAAAGAAACAAACAGCTACCTGACTTATAAGTAAACTGGCAGCTCAGGGGTTGACAAGTCGAGGTTTCTGGGACTCTTCGATGCGGGACAGAAAAGTTGGTCCCAAAAGAGAAAAAGCCGCCGCACACCGCCCGCGTCTGTCTTCCTGTTGTCTCCGCGATACCATTGCTGCTAGCATAGAGCTCCATTGCACCTTATTGTCTGTTCCAATAGCTAAAAATCCCAATGGCCGACTCGCGACTCCCTCCGAATAAACGCCCCCATGCGGCGGTGGATCAAGACGGTTTGTTGCACCTGAGCTCACGCAGCAGGATCCTACAGAGAACGGAGTAGCTAACAAGACTGGCTATAGAGAATGAATCCTCAGACGAAGACGATTTCGGTCCTGCATTACCGTCCGCAGATGCCCCAAAGAAAAAGCGACGAAAACTCCCTTTCGAGAAGGTCTACGTGAATGCGCTGCCGGCGTCGTCGCGGTACTCCAAGTCGCTCATGCACAAGGACCAACTATCCTTTGTGACCATGACTCCGTTTACCGATTTCCTGATTACTAGCTCGGCCGATGGGTTTGTCAAGTTCTGGAAGAAGATGGCCGTGGGTGTGGAGTTTGTCAAGGAGTTCCGGGCGCATCCTCCTGAGAAGCTTCGGAGCGTGAGTGTCAGCGCTGATGGGAGGAGCTATGCGACGACTGGAGCAGATAAGACGATTAAGATTTTCGACGTGGTTACTTTTGGTATGAATGTGCTGTAATTCAACGGGATATCTGATGCTAACTTCTTAGACCTCCTTTCCATGCTCAACCTAGAATTCGTCCCCCGTTGCGTTTGCTGGGTACATCGACGAGGCGCATCGATACCATTGCTGGCTGTGACGGACGAATCGAGCAGTACGATCCAGATCTTCGATGGCCGTGGCACAAATCCTACTCCCTTGCATACTGTCAAGTCGATACATCGGACACCGGTGGCCACAATGGCATTCAATAACGCATTTGACTGTGTCGTCTCCGCAGACGAGTCGGGCATGGTCGAATATTGGCGAGCCAGCGACGGTTCGTTCGAGAAGCCGGACAACGTGTTTGAGCTCAAGTCGTCGACCAACCTGTTCGAGTTCAAAAAGGCAAAGTCGACACCAGCATCGCTGTCCATCTCACCGACCGGCCAACACTTCGCTACGGTTTCCTTCCCCGATCGCCAAGTGCGAATCTTCGACTTTGCCAGTGGAAAGCTATATCGCAAGTACGATGAATCTCTCGGCACAATCAGCGACATGCAACAAGCCGGCACAGCGATCTATCCGTTGGACACAGTCGAGTTCGGACGACGACTAGCCACAGAACGAGAAGTAGAGAACCCAGTCACCATCCCCCGGGTGAATGTGGTATTCGACGAGTCAGGCCACTTCATCCACTACGGCTCACTCTACGGCATAAAATGCATCAACACATACACGAACCGCGTGGTGCGGGTATACGGCAAGGACGAACCCTTCCGTGCCCTCAACCTAACCATGTACCAAGGCCAGCCACAAAAGAAAGGAATCACAACAGTCTCCATGGCAGCCAGTTCCAACCCCCTCCTCCAAGAAGCCGAAGAACGCGACCCAATCCTCGCCAGCACGGGCTTCGCCAAGGTCCGCTTCTACCTCTTCACCAACGAAACCGACGTCTCAAAGTCCCACCGCGACGTACACAACGAACGCATCCAAACCGGCGAGGGTCGCGGGGCCAAGGAAACAACGCAACGCGCTAATGAACTCGGCACAGCAGCCGTTCTTCACACGACGATGGGCGATATCCACCTCCGCCTGTTCCCCTCAGCCGCGCCAAAGGCCGTGGAGAACTTCACCACTCACGCGCGCAACGGATACTACAACAACACCATTTTCCACCGTGTTATCCGCAAGTTCATGATCCAGGGCGGTGACCCGCTGGGCGACGGGACAGGCGGCGAGTCGATTTGGGGCGGCGAATTCCCGGATGAATTCTCGACACTGAAGCACGACAAGGCGTATACATTGTCTATGGCGAATGCTGGACCGAACACGAACGGGAGTCAATTCTTCATTACAACGGAGAAGACGCCGTGGTTGGACGGCAAGCATACGATTTTCGGGAGAGCAGTGCAGGGGATGGACGTCGTGCATAAGATTGAGAATACGAAGACGTATAAGGAGAAGCCGGAGGAGGATATTAAGATTGTTAGCATTACGGTCTCATAATTGTAACTAGTCAACTAACGTATTTCCCTACCGAGCTGCGCACCCGATCGAGCTGCGCACCTCTGTATTCCATATAAAACGGCACTTTTTATAACCTCAACATCTCAACCGCAAAGTATCTACAGAGCCTAAATTTTAGTATATAGAGTATTATGGTACTAAAATTATATACACTGAGCAGAAAGAAGCTACAGATAAATATTTCTCCAAGTAATATAAATTACCGCTGTATTTTTTGTATTTTTTCAATATTCAAGCATCTATGGCTATAAAAAGCTACAAAATCTTTAGAAAGTAATCGATGACTCGGTTAGCGGGGCGCCAGAAACGGCTCCCATTGCTCTGTCTGTCTGCCGTTCACCACCGCCTGCCGCAGATGGTCATCCGCCTGCCCTTTCTGGTATGGCCCCTACCTGTTTGGGGATAGTGGCCCCTTCATGCTGCTTTTACACTGTTCCCATGCTGCTTTCACCATCTACTGACTGAACTATATAACCCTGACCTGACCCCCTCCAAGGACAACACACTTCCTCTTCTCTTTTCTTCCTTTCCATCCTTTCTACTGTCACGACCTTCATCGTCTCATACTAATTCGTACCTGTTTCTAGTTAACTATGTCTTGTAAATGTGATGTGACTTCACTTTGGCTCCCAGCCTAAGTGCAAGCCCTAATTGTTTCTGTAACCATAGTTCATAGTAACAATGTGACGGCCCAACACCTCTGTGACGGTCGAACGCTATAGTACCGGGAGAGACTTTCTCAGACGTATCATACATGATGTATCATATGTGACAGATCAACTCCGCGTCCAGATAAATACCCTCTCCTTCCTCTAGATAGATTTCGTTCTCCAGATTCGAGATTCTCGTCCATGGCTACAATAGTTTAGATAGGAACGTCGATTCATTATCATCTGCTATTCCGAGCCCGTGACAAACAAACCATCTAATTAGTGACTGACTGTTATACATCTACCATACAAGCTATCTCTCATAACCAGCATGAAGAATAAACTGAAAAGAAAACAACCATTTCAAACTACAACAATGTTGTCGTCCTCATTAACATATTCTTTCACAATGAAGTCTCCCCAAACATCATCCCCGACATTCTCTCCTTTGGCGAGGAGGAAGTCGCGCGGAATGCTTTCATATCTGATCCGATTGATACAAGAAATCTGACCGAATAAGATCCCTCGGAGCTGATTAGGCATTTTCGCCTGTGGTATAACGATTGCCAGGGTGTTGATAAGGATGACGTCATTGGTGAGGGCTACCTCTGCATCAATTTGCACGCTAGATCCGTCACTGGATCGGTACGGATCATGGATTGGAGTTCGCAAATATTCCCTGAATGACTGTGGAAGGAGTTCTTCGGTGATTATGGTACGATGTGCACCCGTGTCCCATATCATCTCTACAGCATCCAGTTGTCCCAATTCGCCCGCCGGAGAATCATCGATGGCATAAACACGAAGATTGGCCGTCACAATAGGTAGGTAGCCCTCCGTCAGGCCTACATGAATGTTCGCGTACGGATCTTTCCACGGCTCGTCCACCATTTTTTTGGCCGTCTCCCGGAGGCGCTGGCGTGTATTTGCCGACGCACGCTGCGGGGGGGCTGAATGACGGATATCTGAGCTAGTTCGGATGCGACGGCCGTAGTTGGCCCCCAATGGACCTACCACCGTACCCTCGTTCCTGGCGAAGTCGAGGGCCATCTCGCGAACCCGCTGGCGATTCGTGGATCCAGTGCTCTGAGGCATTAAATAAATGCTCTCATCGACGTCGCCCATAGCTTCTTCGGCAGCCCGGATGGCGGTCTTCCACGTCGAATGAGACGGGAGCGTGACGCATAGATCATTGTGCTTGCCGTTCATAGCTTTCGCAACCTGATAAAGGATGTGCCTGGGATGGGCAACTCTCAGTTCTTCCTGGTTTTCCATTTCTGACCTAGATGATGGCATGGAGAGTCAGATATAACGAGAATCACATTCTAGGGAAAAAAAAAAGCAAACTACGTTTTCTCCTGTTCCTGGGTATGGGTATCCGTTTGGGTTTTAGCACCACGAGTACGCTTTCGTGGATATGAAGTTGCTGCTGATCCACGCGAAGACCGGCTTCGTTTCGGTCTGGCCCCATATTGAAGTCAGACTGATTCGTCTTTGAAAGTATATGAACGAAAGGGACCACAGGGAGGGTAAAGGTTCATACTTAGAAAGACTGGAATCGAACAAAAGCCTTTGTAGTGTTAGGAAACAGAAGGCACGACCGATGACATGAAGTTTCGAGGCCGTAACTAGTAGACTGACTAAATAGTGACTAAGACTCATTAACTAAATAACTAAACAATTTCTATTAAATCGGATACGCTTCGTTATGCATCCATGCATACATGCTATCTCTCGTAACCAGCATGAAGAGAACAAACAAGAAGAAAAAAATAATACACATAGGTGAAGCATAAAGTGACTGACTGGGTACAATGAAACCTTTGTTCAAGTTGTTGATGATGTATTCTCGGGCAGCCTCCAGTTCCCCGGTAGACATCTCATAAAGTGGGCTATACCCCAATCTTTGAGGGGTCCCCCTCGAGATCCAGCTGGTGATCAACATTTCGGTGGTAGTGTGTCTGATGCTGTCCTGCCGAAGACGTTAGCTAACTCTTTATATTGGTCTGGCAATCTCTGGCGGATGGTTTCCAACTCCTCATCTAGCTCTTTCTCTCTCCTTTCATACATAATCTTATCAATCTCTGCCAGTGTTGTCACGAAAATCTTTAAGTTGCCTTTTCAGAGATGCCGCTCGAATCCAACTCCACCAATCATAGCGATGTCTATCTTTGTAGTGGCTGCTCTCCTTCCTTGCTTGCTCTCTCCCTTCTTCTCGCTGTACCGCTGGATCCCCTTCAGGTCTCAGAGAGAATTCAGGGTCCAGCATTTGCCGCTTCACTCATCTCAATGATCATTCATTGTCCTGACTGAAGGCTCGGCAGTTGCACCTCTTGATATCCTCTTGTGCAAGCAATTTCTCCGTTCAGTCTGCATCTTGCTGGTGGTTGGCACTCGCTTGATCCTGCCTTCGTAGTATGGTCTTCAGTAGTGTCCACACTGGTTGGTTTGCTGTTTCTTTCCAGGGAGGCAGTTCATCTGGCCACAACAGCCGGTTGCCGGCGCAGTCAGGTAGGACTTGGTTCTCTGCTATCCATTTCTTTCCCAGAATGACATCGTGTTTACCCAAATCTGCAACCAACATAGGGGTGTCCGCGAGCCTTCTTCCATCAACTCTCAAATCCAGTACTATGGCATGGGTTATGGGCTCTCCCATCCTACCATCATACCCCCTAGCAGGGCAGGGCGGCAGGCTTGGCTCAGTGGGAGGGCGCCTACACCAAAGAAGTGGGCTAGCTTGATGGCCAGAGGTGTGTTCAAAAACACATATCTGTTTGCTCTAGTGTCAATCAGGGCATTCATTGCAATTGATACTCCATTTCCAGCTACCTGTACGCCTAAAGTGAAGCTATCTTGTTCATATGGAAAAATCAACTCTGCACTTGGAATGGCTGCCATCTCTGTGGGTCCAGAAATTGTCCAGTTACTGTTGAAACATGATGCTGAGGTTTGTAACTGAAGTGCCCTTCACAAAGCAGCCAGCTATGGTTACCTTCAAATTTGTTGCATCCTTATTGATGCTGGGGATGATGTCAATGCTATTCCTGATAATGAGGATCCCTTTGAGAATACCACCGAGCAGGATGATTGGGGAACACTGCTTCATGGAGCTGCGGGAAATGGCCATACTGTCACGGGCTCGGAATAGTAGATATGAACGAACTGAATTCCTATCTAAACTATTGTAGCCATCGACGAGAATATCGAATCTGGGGAGGGAAGGAAAGAAAGAGGAAATCTATATAGAAGAATATGAATAGCTGCACACTTTTTGTTAAAATTGTTGCGCCTTGGAGTGCTGTGAGATTGTTGTATGACACTTCTCAGTAGTGTCCCCATTGGGCAAGGGATATGATCATATGAGGTCTTTGATGTAGAGCTTCTTGGAGTTGTTCAAGCCCTCCAGGTGGGCATGGAAGGCGGGAGATCAGAGACCGGTCACTATCTTGCTGGACTCCCAGGATGCCACTGCAAGGCTGCAGCATACCCAGCCAGGGCCAGGTCAAGCACTAGCAACCCAGGCAAACGCTATAGCCAAGAGACTACAAGCCCAAGATCATCAAACCACCATCCAGTGGGTCCCGGGACATGCAGGGGTAGAGGGGAATGATAGAGCTGGTCAAGCAGCAAAGCAAGCAGCTAATAGGCCTCCAGGGACAGGTCCAAGAGAGATCTCCCTGGCCTTTGCCCACAGAGCTTGGGGCCTTGGACAGAGCCACAGTCGGCGCTGACACGTCAGTATCAGTATTTCAAGCTGTTGGGTGTCAACCCTCTGCTGATAGCAATGACCATGGTCTACATTCTCAATGAGTTTGAGACTAGCTTGAAACCAACTCACTGTGACGGCTCAACGGCTCAACGCTGCTTCAGTGGCCGGTATCAACAAAACGCCACCATGCAAGCAAACAAAGAAAGAAAGCACTTAGCGCGGTCACAGAGGTCATGGATAAAAACCCTTTTTTTCCCGTAGATAGATTCCTTTTCTTCTTTTCTCTCCAGATTCGATATTCTCGTTGATGGCTACAATAGTCTAGATAGGAATTCAGTTCGTTATTATCTACTATTCCGAGCCCGTGACACTGAGTGCCGTCACTGTACCACTTCTGTTGAAGCTGGGAGACATCCAAGCTCTCTGCTTGGGCCAAATAGTGTTCTTTGTTGTCAGATCTGACTGGTTGGGAGTGAGGCGCCATGGTCGACACAGCCCACAGGGAACTGGCAAACAAAGGAAAGGATGGAAGCAGGGAAGCACACGGTCGGCATGATGGGACTTATAACTGGAGAGAGCATGATGGTCAAGGGGGGAGCCCAAAAAGGCTCCCCTCCGCAGCGAGAGCGTCTAGATAGATGATGTTGAATGAAATAGCAACAAAAAGTCCCATTTGAGACTAGCGTCAAGGAACATGAAATCTGTGGCCTGGCGTGGAGGGAAAGCTTGTGGCCGTGGGAATATGCTCACCTGATGCCAAGACGGGGAGTTGGTTAGCAGGACTCCTAAAACGGCCGCCGAAGCAGCCCTTTTCGGCCGTCTGCTAACCGTCACATCGTTAAATGGAGTAATATACCTTCTTCTAGTATGTGTATGTATACCCTTCTATTATAAATTAACCTCTATATCTATTGGTGGTTGAGATATTGAGGTTATAAAAAGTGCCATTTTATATGGAATACAGAGGTGCGCAGCTCGGTCGGGTGCGCAGCTCAGTCGGGAATTACGTTGGTTAATCACGACTACAAAAGCAATAATGTTGGAACAAAAGTCAATTCACGGTCATTTAAAACAATAAAAGTCAACAAACAATAACCCATAGCATAAATAAACCAATATCATCAAACATTCCCGACAACGCCGATCAATGCAAGATTACCTCGACAGATAAAGTCGCGCGGTCTTGATTGCATGTGCCATCCAGAGATCTTGGTATCGTATATTGTAGTCGGTGGCCGGAATAAAAACAAGAGAAGAAATATAATCGCGAAAAACTACCGCGGAGACGCCTCCCGGATCTCAAAGTCACTGCTCCTAGGCGACTGCATCGGCCGCTGCAACCGAGTCCGCGACGGTGTGCGTCCAGTTCGAGGATTGGTAACCTCTGTGCGCGAGCTACTAGCAAACGAGTCCGTATTCGCGCCTTCGAAGCGACGAGGCTGAGCCATTTCGAGACTCGGATCGAAGGAACCGGGCTGGTTGAGAATCGGGTCGGACTGTTGCTGGCGATTGAGCAGGAGACCGCTGCTGTCTCGACTGCCGCCGTGGTAGAGATGGGGGTATTTGGCGTCGTGGCGGCGCTTGAGCCAGACGCCTAGGACGGTGAGGATGGTGAAGCCTATGATGAGGACGATGACCATGATGATCCATTGGTAGTGAGTCGACCACCTACGACACTTATTAGTCTGCGATCCGTGTAATTCCGATTAACGATTAAGATGTGACATACCAATCACCCCCGCCTCTCGCCTTCAGGGTAGAAATTTTTTGGGTTGGTGCCATTTCTGTATCCTCCAATGTGTTGTCTGTTTCTCTTTTGATATTTTTCTTTCCGGCGCAATATCTGCCGTACCAGGCGTGGAGCAAGGCGCGATCGGAGGCAGTGCAAACATGGTCGCAAACTCCATCCGGGCCGCTATGGAGTCGATCGATCAGGCTAGATTGGCAGAAACACGAAGCGATCGTCGCATGGTCGTCGTCGTCATCGTCGTCGTCGTCGGGCGCTGAAGACGAAGACACAGACACACAGTCGGTCTGTGCCTGTTGGAGGAGCGAGCAGTTCACGGCGCACGAGGGAAAGGCATCGTCGGAAGTCGCAGAGGCGGGGAGGATGGCTACGTGGGCTTGGGTTTGTGCCTGATTTGGTTCCTGGACCTGGAGATTCGGGGTTGAGGCGGTTACCGGCGAGAAAAGGCCGGAGAGGAGAGGAAGCAGAGCGAGGGACCGGAGGGGATTAACCATGGTGATAACGATGGTGATAACAATCAGATTAGAGGGGAAAGCAAACCATAGCCAACGATAACGAAGCGAGAGAGGAGGACAGTGAGAGAGAGCGAAAAAGAGGAAATTACAGGATGAAAGAATCGAGTGAAGCAAAGAGTCAGTCAGCGCCCGAAAGGGAAAAGTACGGCCCAAACTTTTCTTTACTCTTTCAACCTCTACTAACCACTACTAGTTAACTTGCCTCTACCACTCCCATCTACTCTTCGTTATACCGTCATCCAGTGCTACCTCATTTCTACCAGGTTGCACCGGTACGGCCACCGGTCCCAATGCCAATGCCAATGCCAATTACCGCATCCGTGCCGATAACCACCAAATGAAGCTGTCAAGATGAAACCTCGCCCAGAGTCCGTCATAATGCAACAACTGATTTCTCATCCACGGTTAGCTGCAGTGATACCCTGTAGAGCGCAGGTATCCAGCAGGTATTCAGCAGGTATCCAGCAGGTATCCAGCAGGTATCCAGCAGGTATCCAGCAGCGAGGTTAACGAACATAGTACGATATCATCGCGACGGACGTTTCAACTTTAGATGATCGATCAGGATCATCCACGCCAGGTATTGCAGATCCATCTGGAATGTCGATATACTTCTGCAGCTCTTCTGGAATGCTTCATCCCTTGATTGCCCCGCGTTGTCAATGTCCGAGGTGTGATATATCATACTGTCCTGGAGAGATTCAGCTGGTCAGGCACGCCGAAGTTTATCTACGGGGTGCATTCACGTCAGTCAGGCATATGCAGGAACAGATCAATACGGGACTTTATGCAGCTGCATGACACTCGAAGGCACTTATTATGCAAGTCTATCTATTGGAAGACTAACATCAGAGTTTGTTATTCTTTTTGGATCACTTTTCTCTAGCATAACCCACCATTCCGCAACCGGAAACCCTCAAGATACACGCTTTGTCACGGGCTCGGAATAGTAGATACTAATGAACTGAATTCCTATCTAAACTATTGTAGCCATCGACGAGAATATCGAATCTGGGGAAGAAGAAGAAAAGGAAATCTATCTAGGCGATGAACGGTCTTTATAGGCATTTGTGTGGTGCGGCTTAAGCCCTTGTTTGCCCATATTGCTTGTATGGCATCGTTTGATATGTTGGCGCTGTTTGTCTGGCGTTGAGCCGTCACACGCTTCCAACGAAAGAAGGACGAAAAATGGTACATGGTAGAGTAAAAAAACAAAAAAGCGCACCTGGGAAGGGAGTAATAGTCCCAGGTTTTAGCAGCGTCCGTTCGACTTCCGGTGCGTCTTGAACAGCTCAGAAATATCTTTGTAAACAGGAGAGTACCCCGTAGTGCGCTCTTGACAAAGCCGGAGTTCAAGCCCGGTAAATAACAGATGGTTCAAGTAGCGATATCCTTTTGACTGTTCCGTACCCACGAACAGCACCATTTGGTCTGCCCCCTCGTTCAATCCAACAACCATACTGCGGGTTGTTGTAGAACAGCTCGAGGTGAGGCAGGACTAGTCGTTGGCTGCTTCATATGGTCGTCCTTATTGCGTTCAGCTTGGTCTGGATAAGAGTGGCGTGCGGTCTATTCCATTCCCGTACAACTTGGTGGCGACGACGAATAAGACGATAAAATCGAATCTTTGGCCCAATGGCCAGAAGACCAAACATTTCTTGGCTAAGACCCTTGCACCATTTGGGCATGCGTCAAATTGTGACCGGGCTTCAGCAGTAGCGTGTAGGCATATATGCCACTAAGAGCGCCACCAACGACATATGGAACCAGGTAGTTTATAACAAGCCTCGTAGGTAGTTAATCTGTGTGATCAACAAGGGTGTAGCGTATCAACCAGCGCAGGGAGCATTATAAAAGTGTAGGCGATAGGACGGGGAGAATCTCCTGACAAAGGACCTGGGAAGGCAGACTTGAATCGTCCGAAGAAACAGTCCTTCCGTTCGCTGTTAGGGCTGTATATGAAGAAGTGTGATTCTTCGAAAATCTTGTCCCTCGTACTCTTGATCGCTCGTGATGCCTAATCGGGGCGAGCGACCTCGTATATCTCTCAAGGAACGGATATATCGTCGTTGGCTCGCTGAATAACCATGTTTAGCTGCAAGCACAGGACGAAAGGAAGGACGCGTTCCGGGAGGAGCATGTTAATCGGAACATCTGCGTCGAGTAAATATCTGTTAGCTTTGTTAGCAAATATTCAACCCGTAGAGGAGCGCATCGTACCAATATATATCCACAATGGTTCGTTGTCGTGAAGTCAAAGATGAACATCGAAGTCAAATCGAATGCAATGCGTCAGCGTCGAAGAAGCTGATTAACTGTGACCAGGGACGTTCATGTCAATGAGGAATCGCAGGACTATGCAACCATGAGTGGAAGCGAGATGAAGCCGAAGTTTGAAGCAATGAGAGAATGAAAAACTATATATATACCGGTGACATCGTAGAAGAGTGGATGATACTCAGTCCACAGGTATCTCTGTATTTATGTTCTGCTCAGGGGCTGAGCCCTTCCAAATGTCTTGGATATTTCTTTCAAGCAAGACAACGCAAAACAAGCTGCGAACCGTTTATGTACAAAGCCGATCTATCATCCCGTACGGAGTACCTATGCTTATTGGATGTGTCATATACCAATCCATCCGAGACATCGTACATGATTGCATGGATGTTTTGTTTTTCTCACCATGTTATGACATTTGGGAGCTCGGGCATCAACAGACCGGGATTCATGGTCATGATTGATTAGAACGCCGTCTACTTATATTACCCTGATTTTGATATCACATTGGTATTTTAAGGCAGTGCTAGAGCATTACAGAATGATTTTCTAAGGACACAAATACTACTATCTGTTCCGAACGTCGTTCTCTCTACGGAGTACAAAATAGATAGCAAAAATAACTAAGCTCGAAAGAGTTAATGCTAAGTAAGATTTGCATCATATGTTCGCGAGCAACGACAATCACATTAAATGTGTCAAGAATCGCACGTAAGATCATTATATTTGCTAGTGAAATGACCTTGTTCGGTACCTTATGGGACCAGATCCAGGATGATTTTCCTGTGATTGTTAATCCCGAGACGAGACGGTTTTGGCGAAGCTTGACCCAAACATTTGCTGCTGGCCCTGGCATGTCATGCATTTTCAGCTGAAGAAGGCGCTTGTGGTCTTCACTCGGACGATGCATTCCGGAACCACGGCCTGGCAATGTCCAACTGACCGCCAGACCGAGATATCAAAGCCTACAACGATATGATAGTGAGGCTGACGGCACGGCAACTGGAAGTCTCTTGATAGGGCCGTTTTCGGGACTGCCTGGCCTGACATGGTTCGTTTGGCGCGGCTTTCAAACTATGCGGGTGTTAAACCCTACCAACGAGGCTGAGGAAAAGCCGTTGCCAATGAATTCATATACCCTGTAGACAATACTCACGGGGTTTACAGAACATGAAGCAAACATCACACACCGTCTTCAGAGTTGCTGGTGTGATTATGCGATTTCGTGCCCGATAACTTTGGTACGCTAGAAACGGAATACACGGTTCTCATCTTATTTGATAGAGACCTTGTCAAATTATTCAGGATGCGATGACAACTATGGCTTGAATCAGCATATAAACGGGTGCTTGCCGCTAAGTACCGCTCCTTAGCACACATCGCTCGCATATAGAGGAATTTGCTCGTTTCGTCTTCCGGGGGTTCTTCATGGGTTTTTTTCGCCGCAATCCTCTAACAGTAATCCAGACATGCTGTTCATTTCAACAATCCCATAGCAAATGGGGATATATTTCCCCTGTAGATGTCGGAATTTGTTGTAGACCTTCAGTTCGCCCTCCGGTATGTATTCGAATCGGTCGTTTTCGTCATCTTTGGGTCGGTGGGGCTTGAAGACGTAGGATTCGCCGTTAACAAGTTCGACCCGGAATATGTCCCTTGTTCCTTTATCGAAGCGCTTGATTGGGCTTGCAAACTCATAGGAAGACGCGACGGATCTAGGTAAATAGCTGCATCAGCGATTATCGACCGTGCATAACCATGATCTTCGCCAACTTACACGCCTTCGCTGCTTTCCATGCTGTCTGCGCTTGAAGTTCTTTGAGGTAATATCAAAGAAGAAGAAAAAAGAGGCCTGCTAAGCCAGCCAATCTGGGCACTTCCGATCCATCCCCTTACGCAGAGAGAGAACAAACAAGCGTCTCATACTAAGACTCTCCTCATGATCGCGTCTAACCATCCAGACCCTGGGGGAACATTCAAAGTCGAGAACTGGGGCCCTCCGAAAGCGATGGCTAAAAAGATATTCCCCGCCATAGATCATAACAATAGGGCAATTAAACGGACGCCCGTAACTAATTCCTTGTTCATGTTAATGGCGATACATACGAATGATAGCAACTTGCGAAGTATACTCACATTCTAGCTTGAGAATTCCTCCAAATCCCTGTCATAAAACGGGACCAAGAGACTCAACTGGAAAAATCTGGAGAACAGCAGCGACACTGTTGGCATCGACATTTTCTCCAATTGTAAAGACGTAGTCGGCATAAGTATCGCCCCAATCCCTAGGCAGTGTAACTTTCTGAGAGTCATGCACGAATATGTCATTCTTGCCAAATAAATGAAGGCAATCGATGGTCCAGTCGACCAGGGACTTGGCTGGTTCTTTCACAGACTGATCATCGCTCAAATGGAGATATGGTAGGCTGAGGATAGGTGAAACTGGGTGTCCCCCATAGTCGTCTAGGAAGCGTTGATCGGATGGTGAAGTGATGAATCCATCGATTCGCTCCGGCTCATCCCAGCGAGGATGACGATCATCTTTAATAGATGTTGCTTCCCGGAAGAGGGACTTGGATAGAGCAACTTCGAATGACTCTGGCATGGTGACTTTATTCGGTGATGGTTAGTGAAGTAGGGGGAGCATGCTGCTTTAATTTTGCTCTGAGACTGTAAAATCACCATTGAACATGAAAACTTGCAAGTTCTCTATCAAATAGGAAGATGAGAAATTTAGTCACAACCGCATTTCATGCATGATGACATGGCCCGAGATGTTTGCTTCCCTTTCCATATACTATTTGATCTTTATCAGCATTGTGTATGCACAAATGTCAGCTTACGGGACAAACTGTCCTTGACAGTGATATGACAAAAGGCTTAGGGCTATACCGTAGTGAGCTGATATGCAGATCGACTTTCCTTTTACTCCCTCTCTCGGTTCTACATCCATGCCGGTCTTCAGCCTTATCCCGATGTTGCAGGCCAGATCAGAAGATGACATGTCCATGCAGTTTGCTACTGTCAGCGTCAATGGCAGTATCTTATTCTTCGATACGCGCCTAGAGTAGCTAATGATTCGACTCATTCTACTGTGGTTCGCCAGGACATTGCATAAGTCCAAGCATATAACTATGTCAAGGCAAACAGTATGCATCAGTACCATGGATGACCATGCCGTGATTATGATTTCATCCGGATAGACCCCTCAGAGCAGATACGCGGCTGCCATATACCGTCGACAAACAAATAATATCCAAATGCCAAAAACCGTCGAATACAGCGTATTCCGCGGCTCAGAAGGCGGCGCCATCATCACCGAAACAGTCAAACGCACGATCCAGCCCAACGAAGCCCTAGTCGAAATCTCACACGCCGGACTCTGCGGAGCGGACAAACTGTCAAAGAAAAAGAATATCCCATTGGGTCATCACGGAGCTGGGATAGTGCGAGAAATTGGATATGCAGTGCAGTATGTCAAGATAGGCGACAGAGTCGGGTTCAACGGATCGCAGGTTCCGTGCGGGAACTGTGATTGTTGCATTGGGGGTGCGATGCGCTTCAATGATTATCAATGAACCAACTGACACATTGCAGGCAAGGAGCAATACTGTGCGCAGCGCGAGCATTTCGAAAAAGTCGGATCCTTCGCGACGCACGCCGTGTGGCAAGAGAACATGCTCATTAAGCTTCCCGAGGGCGTGGAGTCGAAATATGCTGCTCCCCTTATGTGCGACGGTGCGATTATGTGGGAGGTCTTGACATCGAATGACGTGAGACCGGGAGATCGAATTGGCGTTTATGGGATTGGGGGACTGGGACACGTTGCTATTCTCATGTCGGGTGCACTGGGCTGCGACGTGGTTGTATTCTCGAGTAGTGAGTCAAAGAGACACGATGCAATGGCAACTGGCGCAAAGGAATTTCACGTCACCCATGATATTGTCCCGGAGACTCCTGTAGCGCCAGTCCAGCATCTCTTCTGGTGCCGAGATGGACCGCCTGATTTCTCCAAGTGAGTCCCTGCCAGTGTCTGCCAATGATCCTTGAAAATTTGCTCACATGCCCAGACTCCTATCGCAAGTATCCTGCAGCGGCACTATATACATCCTCGCCGTAGGTCTTGAAACAGTACCCGTGCCCATGCATTTGGTGGTCAAGAACGGCATCCGGGTCCAAGGGTGCTCAAACGCCTCCCGGAAAACCATGCGGAATATGCTGCAATTCGTACGACTTCATGACATCCAACCGTGGATTATGACTTGGCCTATGACTGTGGATGGTGTTCAGGATGCATTCGAGGCGCTCAACCAGAGTAAGATACGATATCGGGGGGTTTTAGTAAGGGAGTGTGGGGATTAGCATAAGCAGTAGTTCGGATGAGATAATTTCATCTGCAAAGGAGATGCTCGTAGGGCCGAACTCTGCCTTGAATGCAAGTCCTGGCTGTTTGAATCCGAAAATTGGAATGAAAGGATGGTTGGTTCATTGAGAAAAATCTATCTATCGACGTTGTAGTATGTACAGAGATATTGAAGCGTAGTGACGGTTGCGTGAAGCACTAAGGCAGCGTGTATCCCCCGTCCACTAAGATGTCGGCGCCAGTCGTATAGCTAGAAGCATCGGAGGCAAGGTAAAGGTAAGCACCCTTAAGCTCCTGCGCCTCACCTTCACGGCCCATGGGGATTTTATCTTTCCAGATGTTTTTGGTTTCTTCAGCAACGAAACTGGAGATCTCAGTTGCGATGTAACCCGGAGAAACAGAGTTTGCGCGAGCAAATTGAACCCATTCAACGGCAAGGGATTTGCCTAGATGTTTATTAGCACGGTGTCCATTATGGAGGCTATCATAAAGTAAGGTCAACGTACAAAGATGGATAACACCTGCCTTGGCAGCATTGTATGCAGCCTGAAGCTGAGGAACGTTGACAATGTGGCCGCTCATTGAAGCAGTGGCGATGAAGCTGCCATATCTAAAGCCTTCGATGTTGCCTTCTTTCTTCTGTTTCCTCCATTGTGCAGCAGCAGCTTTGGCGCAGTAAAATGTACCATCCAGGTCCGTTTGAACCACATTGCTATAATGGTCCGGCTCGCTGTCGACCATAGGACCTTGGGTCCAGGGGATACCGGAATTAGCCACCATGATATCGAGACGGCCGTTAAACTCCTTGACTACCAAGTTGACGGCATTCTCAACGGCTTGGGAATCCTTGATATTTACTTGATAGGCCTTGCCTGAATATCTGGTTAGCTCGCGAATAGATAATTGGCCACAGCCACCACGGAGAAACCACTTACACTGAACTCCATACTTGGCCTCAATCTCAGCCGCTCGTTCAACCGTCTTGAGGTTCGAATTATACCATATCGCAACGTTCGCACCAGCTTCAGCGTAGCCCTGTGCAACTGCAAGACCAATACCAGCGCCGGCACCTGTGACAATTGCAGTTCTCCCTTTAAGACTGAAAAGGCCCATCAAGCTTTGCTGAGCAGGTGGAATGGTGTTGTTGTGGACAAAGTGGCCCTGGGAGATTGGGGATTCAGCCATGTTTGGTGGTTGGGGGAGGGGGGAGAGGGAGGGGGAATTGGGGGTGATTGAAATTTCAGTGGAAAGTAAAGTACGGAATAAAGGCCAGACACATGGTGAAGTGTCCTTGGGATTTATATGTCGGTACCCAACCTGTAGAGACCCATTGAGGACCCGGAACCGAAACAGGGTCTACACGTTGTCCCGCCGGAACCGTGTACTTGATGTCGGCCCCACAACCAGATCTCTCCACGCGCTCCTTCTGACACCTTTCCATTCTCACTAAGTAACCAAGACAGCTCCCTACTGAAGCTACGCCAAACACAGCAATCTCTACGAAGTACACCATGACAAACCAATGCCCCGCGAAACCCTCGTCTTCTCCCGACAACACCGACGACACCGCCATGCCGCCCCGCCAACTCTCCGCGCTCTTCACCTCCCTAAGCCGCGACTCGCGCCGCTGGTCCCTAACCCGAATCCTCCACAGCAACAATCCCATGGACATACAAGGTGAATTACTCGGAACAGCCATCTTCAAGCCCCTAGGACAGGGTACGAGTACCGGTGTGGATCGCGACATGGTATACCGGGAGGAAGGAGAGATGCCGAGTACAGTGGGGATGGGAATGGCGGGGCTGCGCTGGTCCAAGAAGTATATTTGGCGGTTGAGTGAGGGGGGGAAGATGAGTGTTTGGTTTGTGAAGGTTGGGGGTGGTTCGAAGGGGAGTGGTGAGGAAGAGGCGGATTATCTGTTTCATGAGTTTGATTTCAAGAACGAGACTGCGGGGGATTCGGATCCGGTGGCCGGGGAGGAGGTGTTCGTCACTGCGCCGGTGCCGCCTGCAGTAGCTGGTGATACTGCAGTTCTGGCTGCACGTGGTAATCATCTCTGCATAAACGATATGTATCGCACCGCATATGCGTTTCGAATCCGTCCGGAGAGCGGGGAGGTGCTGAGCTGGTCTAGTCGACATGTAGTCAAGGGGCCGAAGAAGGATCAGGATATTGTGAATGTCTACGACTCGATTTGATTGATGTCGATGCAGACTATGGCTACGCTACGCTTTACGACAACCACGTTAACACGAAACCGTCACATTCATATTAAATGGCATTGTATATACCCAGCTCTTCCATAACCTTGGCTGCTTTTGAATCCTACAGTGTATATATGAAGTCCGGCCGCTCATCACCCCGCTGCGCGAGTTGCTGGGGACTCAACCCCTCGACCCAATGATCGCGCTTTCCTTGCTCGCGCTTGCGGTTCTCCACTATCAGCAAGATATACTGGATGAGGGATCCACCGAACAAGCACACAACGAGGTATCCAAGCATCACACCGTGACCGGGGTAGAACTGGGGCGCATCACCGCCGCGGTAAACGTTGGAGGCGACGATACCGTTGAGGTTTCCCCAGCCGATGACGACACCCAGCGTGACACCTCTTTTGTAAACGCCTATTGACGTTAGCAATCGCCTGGAAAACTGGACCGGGAGGAGGGGCCTACCTTCCGTGTTGTTGCTACACCACGCGATGGTATTCGAAACACATGGGTAAATACCCATGGCGGCGAGGAAAACACCGGCATACCGAGCGCCAGGTCCTTCGGCACCTATCAGCAAAGCATAGCCAGCCATGCCGATGACGGAGACAGCCATGTTGGTGATACCGCGCTGGCGCGTGTGATCCGCGAGGAAACCAATTGAGATGGTTATAACTGCAGCGGCGGCGTATGGGGGGACACTGAGGAGTTGTGCTTTGACCGAAGTGTATCCTGGGTTGTCAGTATTGTGCAACTTCAAATGGCAGAGAATGACAAACCCTAGCACTTGTTAGCCAATTGCACGGGAAGACAGAAAGAGGGGACATACTAGTTCTTCAATAATGGTCGGGACGAATAGCGAAAACCCATACAATGGCATATCCGCGCCCATATAGATCACGGCATAAAGCCACGTCTTCCAGTCCTTCATACTCGACCAGAAGTACACCATATCAAAGTCCTCATTCATCGCACTCGCCTGTTTGTCCTGTGCCAACCGGCGCACGACCCGTTTCTTGTCATCAGGCGAGAGAAACGTGGCTTTGTCAGGAAAGTCCTGGACCATCCAGAAACAAGCGACACCGATCAGTACCGTGGCCAGACCCTCGAGAATGAAGATCCAGCACCATCCAGCTTTGCCTCCCACGCCATCCATCAGAGCGATCGCAGCGGCGAGCAGACCACCGAATGAACCAGCAAGTGCAGCACCGGAGAAGAAAATAGCCATTCGCACTCCAAACTCGTCGCGACGGTACCAGCACGATAGGAAGTATCCGATTCCGGGGAAGAGACCTGCCTCTGCGAGACCAAGGAAGAAGCGAACGGCCATGAGACCTGCGCCGTTATGGACGAGACCCATGCATGTCATGCAGATACCCTGGTCGCATCAGCAGATGCGCAGATCAAGGAGACAATATGGAGTACTAACCCAGAGAATCACAATGACGGGAATGAAGATACTTGGCCCCCAACGCTTGAGCAGCACATTGGTCAAGGGCTCGAAAACAGAGTACGAGATGAAAAAGACAGTCAAGGCGATGTTATACTGGGTATCGGTGATGTTGAGATCCTCCTGCAAACCAGCGACCTTGGCATTTCCGATATTTGTCCTGTCCCTATCAGTGTTGTCCGTCTTCAACCCGTGTATGGTGTGCATACCGGTCCAGAAAAGCGACGAGGTAGAGTAAACAAAGCCAGGGGACGAGTCGCAGATCGAGCTTCCACAGCAACTTGCGGTCCTAGACAATATTACACGTTAGCACGCGTCTCAATCTCAATTGACCTGAATACTCACCCTCTTAGCCCGCTCCTCCTCACTCACACCCTCATCCGGATCCTCAAACCGATCCAATTTGGGTTCTTCATGACCATCCCCAGGCCGAACCTCCTTCTCCGGGTCCGACACCCTGGACACATTGTCTTCAGCTTTAGACATTCTGCACAGACACGAGACACAGCGTCAGTAAAAAGGGAACAATGTGGGCAAGAGAAAAACGACCATGCAGGGCCGGGCATTCAGCGCCTTTTCAAAGCAACGCCGATCAGATACTAATGTCCCTCAAGTCCCGTGACTCTCGTTGCCTCTGCTTATCGAGCACACCATGATGCGCGCTGTGATTGGACGCAAGGAGGACTATCCCGTGACTAGCTGAGTGGGTTTCCTGATTGGGGATAGTGTGTTTAGTGCGGGGGATGTGCCGATGAATACCGAAAGGCTTGTCGGGTATGCTTTTCCGTTTTGGGTGGTCGCTAGCCGGCGCGCTTATCCCGATGGAGCTAAGCGAGAGTCTGGTTAAATCTTATCTGCGGGGAGGCCAAGATTTGAGTCGATGTTTAACCGGTGGCCCGTGGTAGAATAGGGGCATATCCATGGAACTGCTTAGTCCTCTGTAGATATACATAGAGCACCCCGCAGTTCTAAGCGACTTCGATTATGCACTCTGGTATCTGCTCCGCATTACGCGTAGAGCATTCTCAATGAGCAAATATATGAGATCACCAAGAACCCGCAAGAACCTGTAAGAACCTGCAATTGGTATGGATACCGTCAATGCATTCTCTACAACAAGAAATGAAGCAGTATTTGCGGTACCACTGAACCTATGTACAACCCAGTCCAACCAGTCCAATTTTTATGTTTTCGTCAACACCAACTTGCCCTGAGATTCCTTCATAAAGCTGACACTGCACTTCCGAAAGCTGGGGTGTCCCTGGAGGAGTGACAGCACCGCCGCAGCTGACTTGATACAATGAAATCGAATAGTGACTTGGCCTACGAACGGTCCAACCTTGACGAATTCGATGTATGAGTGATAGGCCGAGCGGTTTAGCACGCCGCAGATGTCCTTCTGGATGGTTGCGCTGACATCCGAGACAACGAGGCATCGACTGTATCCTTTGTTGACCAGGTTTTCCATGTCCGCCGGCATTGGGTAGGTTGGAGTATTCACGAGGGCAACCTTGGCCAGGGCAGATCCAGCATGCAGTCCCTCCTTAGCCTTCTCGACAAAGCTGCGCGCCTCACTCTCCAAGAGGAAGACCACAATCGCCGTGTTGTATCCCGTGATGGCCCTAGTATCGAAGAGACGCGAGGAGTAAACCTCCCCAGAGACATTAAGTAGCACCTGATTCAGCGAGATGTTGGCAGCAAGGTTCTCAATCGTTGCGGTGCGGTAGATGTTCGTTTCAGCCATCGAGGGAATGTAACGCAGCCCGTATTGAAAGACCAGGCGATTCGAAAGAGGTACGCGAGAAATGAGGTTGTTCGGGTAGTAGAGTGCATCGGCTTCTTCTTCCTGGTCGTCGAAGACGCTGCATCCTTTGATCGCCCAGCAAAGCTGACCATCCCAGGGAACCGTCTTTGCCATTTTGCGACCTGCGAGGGAGTTGTTGTTGCTTGCATGACGACCGGTGACTGGATTCTATATAGTACAGCGGGGTTGTCAGTGAATGAGAATCAAACACTAGCGTTTGGTGATTGTTTACCCGCACAGGCTCCAAAATGGGTATCATGAGATGCTCCAACCGACGATCGAGCAGAGCAGAATCGGACGATTGAGACTCTTCCGCAGCGTGAGTCGCCCTTGGATGCAAGATAGGAACTGGAATAGTTTCTACGCCGCTGTCGAGGAGGTTTGAACTGCGCACAGCAGCCATGGCTTTGGAGCGGGCCTTGGCCTTCCTCTTACGACGTGCACGCTTTCCCGCAGCTCCCCGGGATTGAGTGTTTCTGGAGGGCTGGGAGCCACGAGAAGAGAGAGGAGAGTATCCAAATCGGTGGTAGTAAAAAAATGTACAAAATGCGAGGGAAATGGGAAAAAAAAGAACGAGGAGAGACTTGACGGGGGGAAAGCTGAGGGCGGGGAGCAAGTTGGGGACTTCCATTTTGGGATATGGGGGAGGAACGAGCTTGTCAGCGAGACAGGTTGACAGGTAGCGGATTTTGTATGCCAGAGAAGCGTACAGGAAACTTGAAGAAGTACATGGAAAGAAAATATTAAGCAGTGAAAGAGAGTATAAACCACTATGGACTAAGAGTGTGAGCCAATGTTCTTTCCTATAATGGTTATTTATGGTATGTTAAACGATCAAAGCATGGCCTGTGTATATTGTCAGTGAAACAGTAGAAATAGTGACAAGGAAATAGCTTACTTCTGGGTCTCTTTGTCACTCCAATGAGATTATTTACAATAGATGAATGTACACACATGACACTATCCAAGGAACTCCCCTTTAGCCAGAGCAATCCACGGCAAGTCTTCGTCCCAGCACCGCTGCATCAACCTGCGCGCATTTTGTATCTAGACTATATTAGCAGAGATGTCGTTTAATCGGATAGCCCTGACTGACCTGTTTCATTCCCGTCGTTTCCAGTATCACAAACCGCTCCAAAATCTCCATCCGTTGCTTGGTATCTTGCACTTCACATCCGGCGGTAAACAGCGGAAACAACGCCCCTACCTCTGTAGACCCTCCGGGCTCAATCTGGGCCAGGGCTTTCAGGAGACCATCCTGCGCTTCGTGGACGGCAGGAGAGAACAGAGAGCTACCCAGAATTCGACGATGAAGGTGCAACAACGCAGAACAGCAAAAAGCTCGATCCATGGCCAGTAGGTCTGTGGGAGATCCTCGATAATGTTTACCATTAACGTGAACCTGTGTCCGCAAAGCTTCGAATTCCATGACCAAAGATTTTGCCTCCAGGATCATGTCCACGGATGCTGTCCAGTCCAGACGAAACATGCCCACATCATCGAAGCATTCATTGTCGCATCGGTGGACTAGCTTTCCTAGCCGGATTAAACATGCACCTGTTCGAGGACTGAACCCGGTGAAGCAGTCAACAGAAAACTCATCATGCTCCCCTTCCGTAGAGCAAGCATTCATAACTGAGTAGTACATATCCAAAGGCGGACCACCGTCGCGGCATGACAAAGTTCCCATAATGTCAATATACCCCAACCACCGTGCTAGAAATGCTCCGATACGGTTCCCTGGATAAGCCATATGTTCCGCATGTTCCTGGAAAAGACCACGAGCGAGGCTGAGGTGACTCTGCCATGGAATCGGGACTTCGAACGTGCTGGGGGAGATGATCTTCAGGGAAAGAAGCATGACAGCTGTGGCCAGGTGAGAATCGGTAATACTCGTGTGCGGGTTGTCCAGGGCATAGCGCAGAGCTGGAAATACATCACTAACCCAATCAGCAATGCGATTTGCAGGCTCTGCATGTCCTAGGTATCGCGCACGGTGACTTGCGGAGTAGGCCAATGTCAAATTCAACAGGTTGGAGTCCGCAATAGCCACTGCATAATTAGCACAAATTAAAACGGCATTTTGCGTGGAACTCACTAGACGGTAACACTGAAACAAATGGATTATCCCCGCAGTCATGTGGAACGAGCATCTTGGCCGTATGACTGAGAAAATGATGAAAGTACATCAAGTTGATTGGATTCTTCAACAGATTCATCGGCAGCGGTGATAGATATCGTGGTATGTTCACGGGCACCGGTGAGTCGTAGTACGTGCGATTCTTTGACTTCAACTCCTGGACGAAACTCATTTCGGGCTCAATATCCCCCTGAGAATTCCACTGCGGATTGATCAATTGCAGTGCGCGGTTGACATCAATGGCTGCATGATCATCGTTCTTGTTCAAATCCAGATCTGGGCGACCGTAGTCGAGGCCATAATTATCCGTGACCGTTCTCAGGTACGCATGCCATCTTTTCTCGGGGGTGGAAAGATCAAGTGAGCGATCTTCCTCGTGGTCTTCCGGCTTGTCTAGTAGGAAGTCAATAGGTATACCAGGGTAGTATATGTCTCCCGATGGGGACTGCGAATTTGATGCTGGTCCAGCCTGCTGGGCAGAAGGAAACGACGGGTTCTGCGACTGTCTGTTGAAGAACCTTCCACCGAACGCAGAGTCCGTTTCTGCTGGTGAAGGGTACGAGCCATCTTCAATCGGATTCAAAAGAGACGGTGTGCTGTTCAGTGTGGATCCAATGCTAGACGAATGCGGTGAATTATCTGCCCATGAGATGGCCACATCCTGTACCTGCAGCAGGTCATTAATCTCTACTGGCGACTCCACACCCGCAAGCTGCGGGACACTAGAGAGAGGTTTCTGACTCTCACTATGATCTCTGTTATGAGTTCCTGGATCGATGTGCGACAGTCTCTCCTCCCAGAGAATATTCTCCGCTGCCCCTGTCAAGATATCCTCCGAGACACTAGGAAGTGACTGGTGAAATGCCGGAGGTGATACAGACGAGAAAACATACGTCGAGCCGTTGCACACAGGACTCGGAGGTTCTACCGAAGATTTTCTCCTGGTCCTTCCCTCCCAGTTTAGTTTGATACTATAATCGCATCGGTCATTTTGTCGCCGACAATTTATACAGGAGGGCTTTTCTTCGCCGCTGCATCTGTTAGACCGGACTATTTAGTGGGAGGGGGGGAAATACCATTTCACCTTGCGAGACTTGCAGGGCCTATTATTCGTCAATTTCAAACGCTTTATATGACAAGGATTACAACTCACCAGCAGCCATTCCGACTCCTGCGCTTCGGTTCCGGCGCGCCTGGTCTTCTTGGACGGGGCATTACTCTCAGAGAAACAGACAAAAGGACCGAGTGTGAGATAACCGCAACAACGACCAGCCAGAGTGACAGCAATCGGGAACACAAAGCATCCCAGGTATAATCAACATCAGTAAGATCTCCATCCACTTATCGAACTGCACATGCGATGCAGTCTGATATCGTTCTTTTCTCAGGCTCTTTGAATCCAGACTTCAGGTGGTGGATAGGCTTAAATGCGTCTGCCGAGAACCGTGCAGCCTGACATGGCATTCTCCTCCTCCACCGGGCAGCTCCATAGCGGAGACAATTGACGCGAGGGGAAAGCCGGGGAGAACCGCCCGTCCATGATAACGCCCTCCGGCGACGGTGGTTGGACGTCGGCCGCGATGTGCAATCAGTGGCATTTGTGCAGACGTCCAATGACGATTTGCCTCCGTGCAAAGCACTGAAATAAGCCGAACAGCTTGGCGACTAACTATATGGGATTCGAATCATTGTGTTTATCGGTGGAGGGCATCGTGTAGTATCCGGAGTCGGTGCCAAAATAAATCCGGGGAGCATGTGATCTCATGGTCAGCTGACCAGCGCTGAAAACAAGGCGAAGTTCTTGACGTGGACTGCACAATATAGACACATATAGACGGCTCTCGTTTTGTATTTTAATTGTTGAAGCGAACAGAATGCCTCATTATCTGAAACATCCTTTGCAACGGCTGTCCAGTCCTTCCCGAGGACTCTCGGCTGTGGTCCATGTATGTCATTGTCCCCTCGTGCTTGATCCATGGCTGACTCTGTTGGTTCCAGTTGGCCGGACTCGCCAGTTTTTGCTGGTCTTTCAAGTTGTATGCTGTCCCCTTTATGCTACATCATGAAAGACGATAGGCGATGCTAATTGTTTAGTATGCACGATTTTCCCAATCGAGCGTGAGTGGTCGACTATACCGGGAGGAGCCGGAAAGCAGCAAACGCATTGACATCGGTCCAGTAACGAGGCATACGGATGGCATTTTCAATACCTCACGGTTATCGGTTTGTCTTTGGCAACATTGACCTTTTTCTTCGGTGTATTGGCGGATGTGACGCTGTCGGCACGGCTCTTCTTGGTCAAGAACCTTTTGTCCATCCTTAGTGCTCCTTTGGAAGTGCTCATTAGTCTTCTTTACTGGAGTTTGCGCTTGGTCAGCTCCCCTGCTATTGTTTTATGAGTACCGCTTACGACTTCTAGATTGACGAGCGTTTGGTGATCCCTGAATGGGCGGTGATCCCGCTCAGCGCTGGTAAGAGAGATTGCCGCAGTTCGAGACATTATTGCTAACCGAAACATGCAGACGTTAGCTTCCACGCAATCCCATCAATTGTGCTGTTGATCGACCTGCTATTTTTCTCTCCCCCGTGGACCATCGACATTGTTCCGGCTCTTGGTTTGTCCGGCACCTTTGCTGTGGGATACTGGGTGTGGATTGAACGGTGCTTCAAGCTCAATGGATGGTAAGTGCAGATGTCTATCGCACTCCAATTTTGCTCGATTCTGACCCCCCCCCCAGGTACCCTTATCCCATCTTCGACCAAGTGCCTTTTGAAGGCCGTCTTGGCCTCTTCGTCCTCAGTGCCGTCGTTATGGCAGGCAGTACCGCGACCCTAAAGCATTTGTATGGCCGGGTCAATGGCTACGGTACCTCCACTGAGGCTCGCGCATACCCTGGTCAGGTTAAGCGGAACGGCGGTCATTAACCGCACTCATTCGTTTGGATGTCCCGGTTGATTTACATACCACCGTCAGCTCGTTACTAGCTAAGCATTGCACTGCATTATATACGCATTGGCCACATGTACTGGATTTCCTAGCCTGAATTTTCCACTCAGTATAGGGCAAATGCATCACACTACTAGTGTCACTTCATATCTCGCCTCATTGTAGTGCAAAGAAACATCCTAGATAACCACATATCTCTTGGCTGCTATCCATAGAAGATTACCAAATAATAGCCAGAAGCAGTTGAAGTTGATGCTGACTGCCCTTGCTCCAATTTCCAGGCAGCTACACTGTAAACATAGCAATACTGGTGTACTTATGCATCCGAGAAGGGCATGACGTCACGTGTTTTGTTGGACATCCGTCTGTGCCTAAAGTAGGAGGATAAGCAAGGAATACAAAAGCAATAGAGGTCCATGGGCTTTTCAATGACCGTTATTCAAGACAGTACTACTTAGTAGGTAAGTAAGAGCCCATACTTTGTCGACCTCTTGTCGACATGCTCAACCAGAACCAACTCCCGCCGCTTACATAATCACACCACAGCTCCGGCTTCATCTTTTCGACCTCGTGGTCCGACAGTTCGGTCTCACAACGTTCTCACACTTCATTCAAAATGAACGCCGTCTCAATCTGCGCCCCGATGCGCACCGCCATGCTGCGCGGCCGTATCTCGCCAGCAGCCCTGGCCTCCCCGAAGACCCCGTTCCAGGTCCGCATGGGCAGCACCACCTCGACCCGAATGGCCACCCCAACGATTCAGCCCTCAATGCTCCTCCAAACAAGCTTACGGCCGCAGAACAACTCGATTCCGGCCTCGTGTGTGCTCCGGACCACCGTCCGCGCGAACTCGACCTCCTCCGCGCCCCCGATGGACGAAGCCAAGTTGGACTGGAACTCGTTTTTCAAGCTGCGGGCTACTCGTCGGAGGTACTCTGTTGCGTCGTCTGCTGTGACCTCGGTTGTCACTACTGTTTTCGGTGTGCAGTACCTGTCGACTCAAGATATTGAATCGCTGGGAGCGCAGGTGATGGGATTGGACCCGATTGTGGTTCTGGGTATGTCGACGATGGCGTGCGGTGCGGCGGGTTGGTTGTTGGGTCCGTTTGTTGGTAATGGACTCTGGTCGTTGGTGAACCGGAAGTACACGGCTGCTTTTGCTAGGGTGAGTTACTCGTCTATTTGGTTTTGTACGGCTGCTAACTGAGTACAGAAAGAAAAAGAGTTCTTCGACCGCATTCGCCGCTTCCGTGTCGACCCCTCGTCCAACTCGATTGCGAACCCTGTGCCCGATTACTACGGTGAGAAGATTGGCAGTGTGCAGGGATACCGGTCGTGGTTGAAGGATCAGAGAGCGTACAACCGGAAGAGGCGCAGCTTCATCGTTTAGGTTCCTATTTCCGTTTCATTGTTCTAGTCATGTTTTTGAGCGAAGGCTGAGTCGGTTTGTCGATTGCACTGGATCAGTGCATGTATTTATAAAATAACGAATTACAGCTATTTACTTGAATTCCTTCCTTCCATTACAGTTTCGACTCACCTTTAGTCTTCGGATCAATATCAACCTCGGACCACCAAGGATACTCCCGGGGAGCATCCTCTTCCAAAGTCGCCTTGAACTCCGGCTTCCTCTTCTCCAAGAATGCACCAACACCCTCCTTCTGGTCCCTACACACATCAGCACCACCACCCACCCACACACCCCAGAAAAGGAACACTTACCTCCCCCGAAACATATGATACAAAACCCTCGACTCCAACAAATGCGTCTCCTCGGGCGAATCAGGCCCCCTCCACATCAACCCCCGATTCAACGCCCCCGCCAACGAACTCGTATTCTCCGCAATATCACCCGCAATCTCCAACCCCCTCACCAAAACCGCACTCTTCTCAGCGAACGTTTCCGCAAACAACGGCCCGAAATGCGACGACGTAGGCGGGAACACACCCCCCGTAGTAACGAGGTACATAGCGCGTGCATGCCCAATAAGTCTCGGGAGAAAGTACGACGAGCAGGACTCCATGGTAATGCCACGACGGGCGAAAACAAAGCCGTACTTAGATGTCGTATGGGCGATGCGAATAGCAGCGGGGAGGGCCATTGTCATTCCCACGCCGACTGCTGAGCCTTGCATTGCAGCGATGGTTGGTTTGCGGCAGCGGTGGATTGCGAGGGCGATTCGGCCGCCACTATTTTACTATTAGCGCAGGTCTTTTCGTAGCGAGAATGAGATGGGCTACCTATCCCGGTACCCCTCCGGGTCTATCTGTTTAGCACCGCTGAATCCAATGTCCAGGTCTGCGCCAGCGCAGAAAGTCCTCCCGGCTCCGGTCAGGACGACAACCTTGACGCGGTCGTCGATGTCGACCGTCCGGAAGACGCGCTCCAGACTCTCGCCCATGGCTTGCGTATAGGCATTGTGCTTTTCGGGACGGTTCAAGGTTACAATGAGGATTGGAGTGGCCGTGGGTGAGTTGGGAGGATGATGGCTGAGTTTGATGTGGGTGACAGGGAGAGTTTCGTAGGATGGGGGAATTGAGATTGGAGGTGAATTGGCATCCATGATTGTGTTACTAGATGGCTAGTGGATGGTTCAAAACATCTTTCTGTATGGAGTATAAATAAGTGTATACTTCGGCTTCGTCGGTTGTCGGTGACGATTATATATTCAGTCCTGCCGAGGCAACGCTTCCCCCCGCAATATCAAATACGCTTATCGTCGATCATGTCCAGGCCATACCATAATACGGATTGTGAATTTGGAATTCATTATTATCATTCGTAATCATTTGTATACAGTACAATTAAGATTGGCCCTCAAACCCGACGTTCCACACTCCATGAGCACCATGCACACTATACATACCCTCCCATCGATATGAAGGCCGATTCTCCTTGTACGAAGCAGCCCCGACATGCTGCATTTGCGACGGCGAAATAACCAAACGATCCATACCACCCTGATCGCCCAGCATCTCTATCACACTGTCTACTGGCCCTGGGGAAGCGCATCTTTTCCAATCAAGATAGCGACTCACCAACGGGACCTGTTCTCGTGGAAACAAAAGCGCCTGCGAGCAACAACCATGTTGGTTCATGAGATGGACCCCCGGCCTCATAGGTTGAACAGTCACGCGGCCTGCGAGGAAGTAGAGAAGGATTCCCATCAGAACACCAATCAGACACACCATCACCAAAAACGAGTTGGTCAAAACGCCCTGCCATGATTGAACGTGCCGTCGTGCACAGATGCCCAGCACTCCGGTCGTAGAGATAGCAAATATGCTCCAAGCCAGGTAAACCGGCCAATGCTCGATATTCCAACCCAAAAACTTCTCCGTATAGAACAAACGCAGATAGAGCCACCGCCTGATCTTCCCCTGTTGCTCCCACTTTTGAACAGTCTGAAGAGCCTGCGCTGTGCGTTCGTACCAATGTCTTTGTGCCACCACATCGTCCTCGAGCATCAGGATCCACGAACTGTTGGTCTGGTAGTAGCACGATTCGAGGGCGAGACGGTAATCAAGAAGGGACTTTTCTGATACCCTCCTTTCGTGCTCCAGGCGCTTCAGTGTGGCAATCGGTGCGTCGAGCTGCTCGTACGTAAACGCGCGATCGACGAATTGCGAAACCCACGGCTGTTCGAAATCCGGATGAGCAGAAGAGATGACATGCGCAAAGAGCACATGAATCGCAATGTCCGACCGCTGCTCTTGCGACAAATTGTCCAGTAGCGAGCCGACTGTAGTGTTGAGGTTCTGCGCCAACGGACGCTTTGCGGTGACAATCCCGACGCATAGGGCAGGATCAGTGGGCGAAACAGGACCGACAGACGAATGCTTGGATGAAGACAGAAAGCGTAGAGATTCCTGGATTCTGGCAACGCTGTAGCGCGGTCGATAGCCTTCCTCTGGTTGGAAGAAGTAGGATGTTGGGTCTCGAGCCGAATGGTATCGACAGTAGAAGAAGAGCGATGCGTACACAAGACAGAGAACTTTGAGCCATAGTCTCTGGCTTTTGTTGAAGAGCGCCATGGTCAAGCGTTGACAGTGTCATTGTTCCAAAGAGCAGGAAAGCTGCCATTTTGTGCTTGTTCTCGACTGCAGGAAGGAGCCATCATACAAGTACCTATAGGGTAAGTGCTTTCAACGAGTGAGTTCCTTCCAGTGCAATTTCCATCGAGCATTCATGATGGTCCTTGGTTCCCACGTAGAAAATCTGAAGAGTACCATAATGGATTTGTGTCGAATATTGCATCTTCAATGTAGGATCACAGATTTTCAGTCGGCCCCGTCAGACACGCTTCAACACTCGGGATCTTGAACGGCCATTCTTGCTGTCAAATACTTGTGACAAGGATGTCACTAAATAGAATACAAAGTTATCCATGGTTAGTGCTATACACTGTTCTTCGATTCATCGGTTATGCCGGATGCCAGCTAGCAAACCGCATCACGAAAACTTGCCTGTAAAACACTGCGTGTCCAATGCGATTAGCTTGAAACCGAGTATCGTCGGCTAACGCGAAACTGAAATAAGGCAAGAACCATTAGTTAGTCATCGACTCTGGCAGTAACTAACTAACTAACTAGTTATTCCAAATCCGATACTTCCGGAAGCAGATCTGAGACTGCTATAATGATGCTAATAGTCGGGTATAAACTTCAATGATTTGCGATGATGATACAAATCCATATCGCTTAGTCCATGATTCTCGCGATTGACCATTTTTGGGCATGTCTGAAGAATGATCTGCTTCAACCTGGTATCAGTCCAGTAGTGCAACCAAAAAAAAAAAAAAAAAAAAAAAAAAAAAAAAAGCCCAAAATCAGGTCGCGGTCCATTCCGTATCGGCAATATCTGTAAAATTTGTCCCGTGCGTAATCATGAGCATTAAAGATCGCCCAATAAATGCCAACACTCGGGCCAAGGACCCTTATAACCCGAAAGGGTAAAAGCATAGTTGTATGATTTCCCCCTTTTAGGTTGGGCCGGGGGGCATGCGTGAGGGTGGAACATGGAACCGGAACTGGAACACCCATCCTTCTGTTCGGCTCGATCCCAATTTCTCAATCCGGTATGACTGAATTGTCCTTTTCGGAGACTGGACCATCGCGCGGTCGGTCCGGAACAGATCTGGAGTCGAGCGATACCTTGATGGGAGAATGTGAGAGTCTGATACAGAGGTGTGCGAGATAAGTCTCGCTCGGCGCTATTCTCTTTTAGGAATAGACTAGTCAGCACCATACACGCCATTACACGTAGCTACCATCATCTGCAACCCCCTCAACACTGCATATGGCCTATCTTATTGCT